CATAACTTCTACGATCTTACGGTTGAACTTGAACAAACAATTTCGTTCATTCATATGTAGGTTGTTTTTAACTTTCCCCGGCCCTTAATAGTTGAAACTCGTTAAAACAACGACACCTCTATTAATAGAAGTTGTGATAATTGACCGCTTTAATCACGTAAAGACCGTTCTTCCAGACCTCGAAAGTTAAAGAATCCATGCCGGTGGAAACGGATTTAACTCCATACCGAAAATAGGTTTCTAGCGACACGGAGTTTATTGGCTGGCCTCACGCTAGAAATGCGCTAAGAGGTGCGTAGCGTTCCCTGAGATGACCCAATTCCCTCTTCCACGCCGTCCCTTACGCGCCCTTCTCCGCACGCGATTGTACGAACATCTACGGTTTACATGTTCCATTACGTTGTACTTTCAAAACTCCCTTTTATCGGATTGATGCCACTGGTGATCAAACGATTCCGAGATGTCCTGTGATGGACTTGACAACTTGCCAAGCTGTATGACCGTTTGGCCTGTTTTATATTGAATTTCTGTCATCCTGATTGGTGGGTCTGATTTGACGGTATAAACGACAAATTTTTTATTAATAACAAACAATGGTTGGTGGGTTTTAAAATAGATGAAAATTAAAACTACTGTTGCATGTTGTACCGGCACTAGTCCACTTACTGGTGACCTGAAGAAATCTTCTTCCTTGTTCATCACTGAATCTGGCGCCAAGCCGAAACGCGAAAACACCAAGTGAGGAAGGACCCAAGTTCGTAACCCACTCATTCAGTTCACCGACTCGCAGACTATCAATCAACTACTATGTACTTCATATTACGCGCAAATATATATTTTTACTTTAATATTTTGCCCTGCAGTATTCTTCTTTAGGTGGGAACGTTTAATTTAGTCTTTAGATTATTAGATCAAATTTGTTGAGTTGGCCAAAGAACTTGTGTATTGATTCCATCAGGTAGGACTATTGTCCCTCTAGGAGTAGGACTATTGTTTCTTCATACAGAGGATATAGGATTATATTGTACTTTACATCCCACTATCTTGGTGATCCCTCAATTATATTTGCCGGAGTTTTATTTGCCAGTGAGTAGAAACCTTCTTCTTCAGTGCACTTACAAATACTGCAGTGTCCTTCTGTCTTTATACCTCCTCTTCTTGGGAGAAGCTAAAAAGGCTACCCTCTGCTACTTTCCAATATCTCTTTATACCTATTGAGTCGAATAATTAGTTATCAGACTAGATAATTTTAAGTTCTGGCTTTGCTTTAGCAGTTCTATTGTAAATTAAGTCGAAACTTTTTTTTGATATATTTTACCTGGCTCCGTCTTGGAGTGTTGTTCCACCAGGTATCTTTAACTTGATCCAATTGATGGATTGAGTTCTATAGCAGTTGGAAATTTTACAGTAGGTTTGCCATTAGTGGTTCTGAGTACTCCTCCCTAGCTAGTTTATTACCCTCTTCGTTACTCGTTCTGTGTCCTGGGTCCCCAATCTTACATCAAGAGAAGCCTTGAGTGTAGCATGGCTATTAAGACCGATAGATGTTTTAGGTCATAGATAGTCTTTTCTCTCAGGCTGCTTTATCTGGTACTGTAAATTGGTATTCCTTTGCGAGGTTATACCTAGGAAACATCGAGTCCCATGGGCATGCCAAATATTATATCTTTCGAAGTTTCTTACTTAGTTTTACTGTTTGGCGTCACGGAGGCGGCTTAGAGAAACTTGTCCTTATATAAAGCTATGTGCAACTGATATTACTTCTTCCTTGATGAAGATGAGCATAGGTAGTGTGGTTAGAAACCTCCAGGTGAACTGTCGATGTCTTTTTTATGATTGCCGTGATAATTCAGCATACCTTATTTTCGGTACAACTTAGGACCCTCTCTACTCTAATTTTCCCACCACACAATCGCCACGATGCATGTCACTGCCTTGACAACTATTGGATAGAATCATATAGTCTATGTGCATATTTTTTGTTTAACAAAATCAGATGAACGAAATATGACATTCAGCCCGGGTATGAATAGAATAATTACTAAAGCATTATTTCCCAGTTAACATCCATATCTAAGGAAATATATTTGATGTTTTAAAGTTTGAATTTCAACGTTCAAGTCCGGTAAAAAGACCAGTTCTCAAGTCGCCTAGAGGAAGTAAGTTCTCGAGTCAATATTTTAAATATAAGCAGGCAGCTGCAGACTGCAGGTGTATTCTTGTAAAAAATAAACTCAACCGTTTAATAGTAAACGAATGAAACGTTGTTAAATATTTTAAAAAGTTTCATGCAATCTCGTTTCCGACATGTTATAAAATTCGGTCGAAAATATTGCTTTGATCTATTTTAATTGTTCAAATCGTTACATATTTTTAACAAGATTGTCGATAACTATACTGTATTATATTTGTTGTAACAGTTTTGCCATCTATTAAGATACTTTAAGGCGGATTATTGGAAAGTTAACGTCTCCGCTTCTATGCTGCATTTATTCGGTCGAGTTCTGATGGGATTGACCTTTTCTCAAGGAGCAGTTCTTAACTCCAGTTTATGATCATTGGAGTCCACTGAGAATTTTTGATGCTTAATGTTGTCAAGGGTCATTTAGCTTTCTTAGCCTTTGGCAAAGCATATCTCAATGAAAAAACATTATCTTTCGATTTATTGTTTAACAAAAACAACAACCAATGCCGATGTTTCTGTAAATAGATGCAGATACGACGAGCGATGATGTTTGAGACATAAAAACCGCCATTAGGAAGTTATTAATGATAAAAACTTAACTGGAACTTTTTAATTCTATTCTTAATGTTAACAAAGGATAACTATCATTGCATGGCCAGTACCGGCCAACCAATGAAGATGGCGAGAAACGCATGTGATAGACAAACCCCGAGTATACCGGTCCACCGAGTGAAGTGCTTTGTGCGGTTTTCTCGTTTAAAAGGAAAGTTTATCAGTTTTATCATATGTTTGGTTAAAAAAATGACGGTGAAGATAATTGTTCCCCAGACTCATTTCGGTATGTTAAAACCTAGTATTATTCTGCTAATGTTTAAAGCTGTTCATGTGGTATTGGATAAATGTGGTCACAGACTTTGGGCAGTATTTTCTAATATAGGAAATGTTTTTTTGGATCTTCGAATAGAACATTTTTCCTCTTCTTGAATGTATTTTAGACTTTTTTCACCTGCCCGACTTCATAACAAAAAGTAAAATGTCACTAACGGCCGCAACTCTCTTGGCAATTTCGAACTCTAAGCAAATCTTGAGGGCTATAACCGAAAATGGCCCGTTGGCTATAATAAGACCCAAAATAACCTATGGATCTGGTGGACCAAAGCAACAAAACAAACATTAGGCAGCATATTGCCAAACCTATGTATCAAAGGGGCAATGAAAACAACCCCCTCAATTGCATAAGAAACTCTGCTAAACCTACCTCCATTGAAAATATTTATATAAAGGAGAAGATAGGAAAAGCTCATTTAGGCTTCAGAAACAATCATACTGGATGGGAGCTAAACACTTCGGGTACACAACAATAATCAATAAAATCAGACACCCATAACCGGGAAACACTCTTTACAACATCCTACAAAGTCTCTCCTACAAAGAAGAAGAAAAAGAAGAATTCAGGAGAACATCATATAAAATGATATGGTGTACAGGTGGCTCCAAAACACTTGAAGAAAATAGAGGTTACAATGAAAACCTAATCAAATTGGATAGCCAATCGGCTATTGAAGTATAAGCATGTAAAAAAAATTACTTGAAAACTAGACAGTGAATGCATCCAAAATCTCCAAAACCTGGGATCTGATGAAATCTCAAAGAACACAAGAGTATTTTGTGTAACGAAAAAGCAAACACACTAGCCAAAGGAGGATCTGCAAGACCAGATATAGGTCCTGAACCTACTCATGGGATAACAAAAGAAGAACTGAATAAACTATAGGGGCGCTAGACACAACAAACATAGACTAGCCAATTCGCTGCTACAGTTAGACTAAACTCAGAGGAGTGATAGAATTATCAACCGGTCACTGCCATCTGAGAAAACATTTACACAACACATGATCCCATTTGTAGATTATACAATGAGGAAGAGGAAAGAGCTACCCATATTTTTGAAATTGAAGAAACCTCTCGATGGAAACATAACCGTACAAAGAAAATCCAGAAATGAAATTGCACCAACGAGTCAGTTATCAACCTATACTTCTTAGGAGAAGGATCGAGTCGATTGCACTCAACTAAGTAACTGGGAAAGAACAATAAACCAGAAGACTGCAGTGCTTGTGGAACAAAAAGCACTACTTCCTAGTAACCTTCATCATCGAACAACAATGAGTAACCAAAGTTTAGTCTGCGATTTGAAAAGCAATATATGCAAGTTGATACAAAATTATTCAAATAGGTTTAAACAAAACATTGTCATCATTAGAAAAAAAAGATTATTGATTAAAATCTAACTTTTCAAGGGTATAACCGCATACTTACGTATATGTAATTTATTCATAATTAATCGTTGTCTTCTTGTATTTCTTATTGTATCGAAAAACCTCGATGAATGATGAAAAGTAGGAAATTTCAATGGCAGGATCCGTATACTTATTTCAATTTTATCATGACCTTTTTTTATCGGCAAAATATAAATTATACATATATTTTTTTTAACAAACTTCATGACTTGAATGGAAATGAACTTAAGAAAAGATGACTTGGACAAAGATAATTCGACCGTGTATAAAAACAGTAATAAGAAACTTGTTCGATAAAAAATATGACTTTACGGTGACACGCTATAACTAGCTACTTATTTTATCTGTGATCCTGAAGACATCCATGACCTTTGGAGAAGACGCAAGTCACGAACGAAGCCATGGTCAAAGTCCGTTGTTCCTCTAAAAAGTTTAAGGACGGGAGAATTGAAAGTTTATGCATTTCAAAACAAAAAGTATTGATCTATAAAATTATTTATTACACTGTAACTATACTGTCATATAAATTTCTTGAATAAAATTCAAGCCACATCCTTGAACAACTTGAGATTATCTTATGTAAAAAAAAAATGTTAAACTAAAATGAACTAATTGTCTCACAAAATGTCAAACCACATTTGTTCATTTAGACAAAGTCAATTTTGAAAGAAACATACTTAGATTTTTGGATGGTGTTCCTTGGTTAAGTTGAATAGAGACTTTCGCCGTCTTCGGTGGTGGTGGGTTTGCCTCATGAAGATGACCAAAAGTCGAAGTTCTGCCAGGCCAAAAACAGCGAAAGTAGGCAGACCAAAATGATCTGAATCGGTGTATCACTTAACACCATGCTGACCTGAGGAGAAAATTTAAACAATCTTGTATATATTTACACTGTAAAAGACATAGATCCACCCCTACGTCAACAATAATAATGAATAAAATGGGATAACATATTTATCGACTGGTAGAAGAGAAGTTAATTATAAATATAGTGAAGTTGTTTAATCAAATTATTAAAAGATGAGAAAAAATTGAGGGATTTTATTGGTCATTTCATTATTCTATCAAGAACTATTTGTCCATATTTAATTGTATGATATTCAGTAAAAAAAGTCTATATGATCCATTATTAACATGGTTATGAACAAAAAATTGATAAGTTCTAGAAGGCAGGAACAGTCTATACCATTATTAATAATCTCGAATAAAACTGATGTCATGATGTAATCTTTGTGTTCCTAGAGAATCCAAATTAAAGTCAGTTTTCAATTTGTCATACTCATAACTAATTTCATTTTTGGGAATACCAGAATTGAAAGGAGTTAATCGTGGGAATTCATTTTGGACGTTTTCAAGTCTAGAGATGTACGTAATTATAAGGGGCCCAATTAAAATAATTATACTCATGAATAGATCTAACTAATTTGCAAAAACAAAAGTAATAGAGAAAATACCGAAACCTCTAAGTAAGGATAAATAATTTTATTAGCCTTTACAATATCTGCACCGTCGGGGCAAATCTGGGTAAGTTAAAGAATGGAACTTTTCAGAATTGAGATTTTAAAGTTTACACGTTTGGTAAAAATTCAATTTTTATAACTTGTTCATTTTCCTTCTCCTTTCTTATACAAAGGTATTAGTTGAAATAAAAAAGCCAGCGTCACGAGCGGGATTCGAATCCACGACCTTCGGCTAAATACGCCGCTGCTTTACCACTTGAGCTATCGTGACTTCGATCCACTCGGACACCAACTTCCCATCTCGAAATTCGAATAGATTACACGACATTTGAAAAATGGTAAAAAGGAGGGAAAGTTCAAAAGACGGGTTGAGATGGGAAGTTGATGTCCGAGTGGATCGAGGTCACGATAGCTCAGGTGGTAGAGCTGCGGCGTATGTAGCCGAAGGTCGGGTTCGAATCCCCCTCGTGACGGCTGACTTTTTTATTTCAACCAATACCTTTCATAAGATTAATTAATTGAAAGAAGTTATTTGGTCAATCTGACCACGAAATCTAATGAATTTATAAATTACACATTCTGTCAGGCCTAAAGGCACTGGAGTATGCAAACTTATTTCAAGCTTCGAAAATTTGGCACCCAGTTTTGGCCCCAAGACTGCCATCCATGATGGCTGTTGAAACATAAGTGAGAATCAATAATGTTGCTTAGGTCTTGGTAAGAAAAGCTTTAGACAGGAATGACTGTAAATGTTTTGTTAAAATTAGCCATTCGGTATTTGGTACGAAAGAAGGATATTAAAGATTGACGAGGACATCGTTAATTACTTAAGATCAGACAACAAGAATGTAGAGGGGTTTAAACCCTCCGAAGAATATGGAGTACTCTTGGGTGAGTTTGTGACATCTGGAAAATAAAAATAACTTATTAGCGGGAATAGACCGGGTTCAACACCGCCCCGAGGAATATCGAATACTCTGGGAGAGTGAATGTTTCCAGAGATATATGTTTGCGGTGATGTAATTATATGTTTTATATAGCAGGTTATCGACTTAGTTTTCATATGTAGCAATGCATATGCAGCATAGCAAAGAGTCGGTAACTGATCGAGACTCTCAAACGTCTCCAGGCCGGAAAATGTGCGAAACCAGAAAAAGTAGTAAAAACACGCAGAGAGCCGTAGATGACCTCAGTTGTTCGTCGACCCCCCCCCAACTTCTTCTCACATCATCATCAGTATTATTATTAACAAGAATAGACAAGACTTATAGTACCGAAATTGGTTATGATTGGAAAAAATCAACTAACTTTTAACACAACGATACTTCCGACTGTTAGGACATAGGACTGTGGAGTTCCTCTAAGACATCTCATCTGTATAATTTAATGACTTGGGGGAAGCTGGTCGCGACGGAAGATAACAGTGATAGTCCAATAGTCAGACTGAAAAGCCGTTGTCTATTGATTATCATATCTGCTTGTTGATTACCTTCGGCTCGACTAGCTCCTCATCTAAAAGTACTGGCTATAAAAATTAGCCTTTAAATTTAATTATAAACACATTTATTGGATAAGGGATAATGTCACGCTTAATAATATTAATAAAGAGACAAAGTCAATCAATAGGGCAGACATGTGTACTCGGTGGGGTAGTAGGATCTTGGATGTATTAGCGAAGTAGGAGGGATAGGATTAGTGGGGGTATTGCCCGAAGGCAGATGGTACGCCCCTCCTCTCCCCCGACGTCGATGGGTCGCGTGCCCCCCGAGAACCCAGTCAGTCTTCGTTCGGTCCTTCAGCAGAAGAGGTGCTAGTCTTCAGCTGAAGCCCCCTCTTCGAGTCAAGTCAATTCAGTGTCCAGTGCTGTGCTCATTCATGGGGGTCACGTCGGCTTTCGACATCAAGCCACCCTCGTCTAAGATGAAGATGTTCAAGAAAGTCAAGAAACGCCTTGGCCTAGGCAAGTTAACACAAAAATAATTTTTCCATTTCACTTTCCCACGGTTCGATACGTCCCAAGACGGCGAAAGGAGTAACGGGCTTTTTTTAATCCTTGTGTGTAATTACCTCACGCTTCTTTCCCACGCTCCCCCTTCCTGCGGGGCCGCTTTATTCCCGGGGGCGAGAAAGTCGTTAAATTTGCTTCCAATCAATGAACCGACCACCCTCGCGACTTATCGACCAAACAGTCAGATTTCGGTGGAAAAAAAAATTAAGCCGGACCTAAGAAGCCTTGGTGCCTCCTGTTTCAAAATTTTGCAAAAACGCATTTTCGCCTCCCCCTGTGACGTCCGAGTGTTCTAATATCCCCTGATAAGTAGAGTCAGTAAATTAAACCCTTCAACTGGAAATACTCGAAAAATATAACAAATCAACGATTAAATATTTTTGTAATTTTTTCAAGAAAGGTTTGTTGGTGGGATGATTGATGGGTCATTACACCTGACCGTTTTGGTCGTCCGCCTACCGCTCAGACTTTTCAATTGGCCTCATTAATGTTTACACGTTATTTTACCATGTCTGCACTCTTTTATTTTTGATGAGCTGTTGGCAAGGGTACGTCCTGACTATTTTGGCCAAACTACTCCAGTGGTTAACGAAGTCATTTATCATTGACCTAGTGGAAAGGTTGATTGTAAGAAAATAAATATTTAACAGAGAGTAATGCAAGTAAAGAAAGTTGAAATGAGATGTGTCATACGAAAATATAATTTTACTAAAAGGAAACTTCAATAGAAAGAAGTTCCATGGGGCACGAGTACATCGACTTCTTCACGGTAATTGTAGAAATGGCCCACCCGCTTCCGTTGCCACGGCCGTCGAATCAGTGATATAAAGTTAAATTTGCATATTAAAAGGTATTAGCATGACAATTTTTCTTAGGTTGTTAAGGCTAGGAACACAAACAATTTCACGAATCAACCTTGTTTACAAATCTAAAAATTCTGACGTTGGGTCATCCAGACAAAATTGAAATGGAAACTCCTTGGAAAAATTGAGAATTGACGAACAGATAAAGTCAAAACTTCAATAAGACGCAATGTGCAGACTTTGCCCAATATTTTTTTTATCGTTATATTGTTTTTATAATCACGATAGATTGATTGTATTTGTACGCTCGATTTTATAGAAAACCGTGAATTTAAGCCTGACAAGGTAAAGAAATTTGAGCGCTTTAATTATCGAGCGAGTAGCTTTTGTTTCAAGTCTGTTTTTACACCTGGCTGAAAGGTACAATAATCCGTTCGGATTTGTTTAAGAATTGTGTTTGGTGATACGGCTAAAGTACATTAACAAGCTACTGAAAAAACAAACACAAATCCTTCTTCGTATAAACATTTTAAGAATGTTCGATATACCCACACGCCACGAAATATCTTTTTACGAAATTTTGTTTTAGTTTGATTCGTTTGGATTAATTGACGGATCGAAAATTCTTGATGGATATGATAATTTCTAACAATGGAATAATTTATGGGCTTAATTTATAATAATAGTGACGTATATTTCATCATTTTTAACCAGAAACAGCATATGGTAATCATGATCTTTGACGTCAGTTCGCGGAATTTCAGGATGATTGTGCGTTACGCCAAATCGAGTTTTAATCCTCGGGTAGAAAGAATGGTGAATCACCATCGCGGATCTGGGCCTCTCCCCCTTTTTTTGAACATGGGGGCGTCACCGCTTTCCGGCGGGTTTAGAGTCCCCGTGGGAATGCCCATGTGCCAAGAAGGACATCTGCCCTTTGCCTACTTTTCCACTGTGAAAATTTAAATCAAGTAATACATAGCTTGTCGGCGTTAATTGGGGGTCAATTCACACTACGCGTGTCAAATTAGGAAAATAACACTGTTTTCCACCCGTCTATTGTTTCCCTCATGTCCCATTGTGCCCGGCCAGAATGTGAGATATGGCAGTGACAGGAATCCTTTTCAGTACGTCAAACGGGGTTGAGTCGTGGGCAGAGAAAAAAAACGGTAAGACTAATCAGTAATCCTGTCCGATTATAACCGCTTTCGACAAAGACACCTTTTGTACAGGCTCCGAGGGTCCAATTAGTTTCCGGGCTTTAAAATTTATAGGAAGGACCTTCGTCACCCGTCTGTTGACGGAATCGTCGAACGGCAGCCCTAAAAGGACGTTGCATGGCCGAGTCGACTTCAAGGTTCTCTCTCTCTTTCACTCTCTCTCTCTATCTATCTTATTTTCTTTGGGCTCCTTTACCTCAGTGCGTTTCTGATTCTGCCCTCAGAACCACATGGTGAACGCCTTCTGCGGCCTACACCCGTTTTGCTCCTGCGTGCATGGTATTTTAAACAAGTAGTTTCTTCAGTTTCACATCACATGTCCGTTGAGCTCTGATTCGCTCGAATTGGCAGTTCAAAGTCTAATTTCTACATTGGGACCGCATTTTTTTCAATTTGTTTTATTCAATCAGAAAATTTTGTTAATATATAATTATATAGTATACAATACTAATTTCGTTGTTTTTTTTTTCCAGCAGGCAAGGGTGAAAGCAGTGCTAATAATGCGACAAACAATTTACCTCCTCTGCTATTCCACCGTGTCCACGGGGATAACGTCCGCATCAGCAGAGACGGAACCGTTGCGAGGAGAACGGAAAGCTTCTGCAAAGGAGTTTGCTTTTCAGCCCGTCCAGTGAAAATCGCAGAAAAGGTATGCATTGTGCATTTATTCTCGGAGGGACGTTTTAATAGAAACTACCGTTGGCGCATTTTTTTTTTTTTTTACCATACAATAGACGTTGTAGGCAAAGGTAAAAATAATGTAAATCATTAAAGTTGAATATTTTAAAGTTATATTTTATGATTTCTTTTGATAAAGCGAATTGTAAAGACCTGATTTTCGTGCAGTAAAAACCTGTTAAACGTGCAAAAAAAATAAATAAAAAAGGTGCAAAATCCAATTTAACTCTTTTTTCTCATTTTTTAAACTCAATATGCCCAAAAATAAATTAAATTTAAAAAATACAAGATAACGACAATAAAGGCATTTTTAAAGTGTTTAAACTAACCATCACATAACAAATATGCAATAAACCATTTAATTTACATTCAACTTTGAATAGTAAAAAATTAATAATAATAAAGTATAACAAATTAATTTGATCATTGAAATTCAATACCGTATACTTCAATTTTTTCTTATCTGGTTATACCTTATATCATCCAGAATGTTATTCAACATAGAAAAACTCCCTTTTTCTTTAAAAAAATTTTTACCATCAGTCGTTAGTTTCTTGTAGTCCTGTACCCACCTCTTTTAAAAACTTTCGATACTTCGAACTTAACAGTTATTATTATCTTCTTACGTGGTCCTCCTTTCTTTCCAAACCGAAGAAAGATTAAGAAATTAAAATTAAATTCCTTCGAAAATTTTAGGTATCGTAAGTTGAAAACTTGTTTGAAGCACGTTACAAAAATGATTTTGCCCTCAATTCGTTTACACAACACTATTGACTAATAAAAATTATCTCTTTTCACGTTGTTTTCATTCATAAAAAAATAATAAACATCAACAAATTGGAAAAAATGCAGTTTTGTGCGGTAAACCGTAAAAATGTGCAATTTCTAGCAATGACGCGAAAACTTGCAAAATAAGAGTTGCGTCAAAAGAACGTCCTTTTCATTGTTCAAATTTCTGTCTTGGTTTCGTGTTTCATTTCAATCACAGTTAGCAATAAAAAGATGCATTAACACGGGAATCCGGTCTTCACTTATTTGATACATTCCATTGACTTGATTGAACCTGACTGGTAACGTGAGGTAATTTATCTTTGGCGACAGTTGTTCTGAAAGTTGTCACCTAAGTTTTAAATATATCAACAATATTAAGGATAAAGAACGGAAAATATGGTGTAACAGTTTATTCGTGAACAAAAAGTTAAAAAGTATTTTAAAGAAAGGATTAAACCACAGCTTAGGATTGAAAGTGGATACTCTGGCTTCTTATGAAACCCAGCACAGATCCGAATCTAATTGAGTTCGTATTTCAGATCTGCCTGAGGATAGTGGACGTATCGGATAGCTGGAGTGGTGTCGTCAGGTTCGGCTTCACGAGCAACGACCCGAGCGGACTCCAGTACAATTTGCCGAAGTACGCTTGTCCGGATTTGACGAACAAACCCGGATATTGGGCCAAAGCCCTCTCGGAGAGGATGTGCGAGAGAGACTCAACGCTTTTCTATTATCTGACCGCTGCGGGAGACGTCCATTTCGGAATAAACGGCGAAGAAAAAGGAGTGTTCTTCAGCGGTGTCGAAACTCGGGGCCAGTTGTGGGCCATGGTGGACATCTACGGCAACACGACGGCCATCGAACTCCTAGACCCTCGAGAACAATTAAACAATTCGCGACGCCTGGCTGTCGAAGAAGACCCCGCGAGATTTATAGTGCCACAGATGTCGAGCATGAGCATACAGACGTCTCCACAGATAGCCGTCGAAGCTCCGTCCGTCGAACCCACGCCTCCTCCTCTCAGATACCAGAACCCTTCGACCAAGTTCAGCCCTCTACCTTTCCACCGGACCCGCGGGAAGAACATACGTTTGAGCAACGATAGGTGTATAGCGACCCGGTACGCGACGGAATTCGCACAAGGGTACGTCTTCACTGCGAGGCCGATTCAGCTCGGAGAAAAGATCGTTGTGCAGGTTCTCGCGACCGATCACATGTACCTCGGGGCCCTCGCACTCGGCCTGACCTCCTGCGACCCGGCACATCTCTCACCGCACGACCTCCCAGACGACGCAGACCTTCTTCTGGATAGACGGGAGTACTGGGTAGTCAACAAGGACGTCGCAGGAGGACCGCGGAGGGGTGACGAACTCGCCTTCTGCATAACCACCTCTGGAGAAGTGCAAATGAGCAAAAACGGAGGACAGCCGATTTCCCTCATGCACATAGATCAATCCCAAACGCTATGGGCATTCCTGGACATCTACGGGTCTACGAAAAAGATCAGAATACTAGGATCCATACCTCATTCTTCACAAAGTAAGTATCATTTATTTAAATTTCGTTTTCTAAATACCTTTCAAAATAAAAACTATATAAATATTTTTTAACAGTATCAAGGTGTGTGAAACAAACTTAATAAAGTTAGTTTTGTCAGCAAAATTTACCTTCCAGCCCGAAAATCGGTTTAATAATTCGATACTCCTGCCTTTCTAATACGCGAAGGGAAGATTTTCAAGACTACGCACTTTTTTTTTGTTCCCCAAAGTTCTATTGTATTTGAAATCCGGTCCGGAAAGGGGAAGTTCTTGAGGGTAAGGGGAGACTATTTTCCGTTACGGCTCTCCCTTCCTAACAATAGACCAAAACGGAAATTTAAAACTAGACAAGCAAGAATTTTTTAGGCAATTAATTATTCTTTTTGTACGGTTTTTGGTTGACATGAAAAATTAATGTCACGAGCCGATTCGAACCCAGGACTAGCTCAATACACCGCTGCTCTAACCACTTGAGCTATCGTGATTAATATGGATCTTTTTTTTTAAAGAATCTCTTATTTTAACAATTTCATTTTATTCGGTATGTGCTGATATGCTAAAAATAAAGCAATGTAAATCTTATCAAATTATTAATTTAAAATCTACTGATTTTAGAGCATTTGCACTAAACCATAAAAATTTTAAATGTTGGATCTTAAAAAACTTTTATTTTTTAGTCATATTTAACATAATTTTTCCTTCTGTTTTTAGGTTGTTCGCCTCCAAGAGCAGTCCAACCTGTCCCTTCGAATTCAGTAGTGCAGACTCCTGAGCGGTGCAGGCCTGTCACAGTGGCGACTGCGCCGGGTGTCGGAGGAGGTACCCTTCTTGTCGTCAACTTACCTCCACCGACTGGGACCAATTCCTCGGCGTATTCAGGAAATCATCACCAGACAGCTCATATTTCATATAGCCCCACTTACGTCGAGGTAATTATCATCAAAGTTTTAGTCAATTTTTTTTAATATAACAAAGATGATGGAAATTATTGATTTTTTTTGTTTTGTTCTACAGCCTGTAAGCGGTACATCGTATTCGACCATCGATTCGAGTGAAGGTATCCGGGAGTGGGCTGAAAACAGCATAACCGTCTCACAGTCGTCCGATTGTTCTGTATGTTACGAGAGGATAGTCGATTCGGTCCTGTACACCTGCGGTCACATGTGTATGTGTTACGAATGTTCGGTACAGCAGTGGAGAGGCAAGGGCGGAGGACACTGTCCCCTTTGCAGAGCTGTCATTCGTGATGTGATTCGCACTTTCAGGTCATGATAGTTGTCATGATTAGTCATTGTTTTGCGAAAGCAGTTAGTTCCTTTTATTAATTATATTATTTTGTAAATGTTAGAAAAAGTATGATGTGTATACTGACTCATGGGAGTGCTTTTTTTTATCATCTTATAAACACGAGAAAATGGAATTATTGCCAATATTAATATAGTTTTTATTGTAAGAAGATAGTAAACCATGATAGATGAATGGGACTTACTATCTTCTTACCTAATAAAAATTAATTAAATTAATTATTACTAAAGAAATGACCACTTGATTTTTATATTAATTTATTTGTGTTCAATGAAATAAGATACTTAGGTCCACTTCTTGTAATTAAAACTATAAACTTCATGACTGTCAGCTATTGTAATTAAAAGTTTAGTTTTATTTTCATGTCATATATTTATATAGTTATTAAGTAGTCATTTCTTTGGTAATTAATCGATTCATTGAAGTCAAAACGATTTGTCACTTAGTCTGATGTAAATTGTATTTATGTAAATTCTTTTTCTTGTTAAATGTAAATATAAGAAGAATCAATGAAATAGAAATTTATTTGAAAGGCATTTTATTTAAGGGGAAAATAATTTCTTGATTCGACTTGATTTTATTTTAGCGATTCTATTTTCTAATTATGAGATGCAATTTATTGCACATTGTTATTTAAATTTTGTTTTCTCCTCATATAAGTTTGATAAATTAATGTTATTACGTAGGACAAGCCATAACTGTCTTCGACCATAATTTCAGGCTTAATTTAAGGATTATCTGTAGGTTACTTTTTTATTTTTGATAAGTGATTTTTGAAGCCAAAGAAATATTGTTGAATATTCTTCTTCTTAGGCCTATATTTATAAAACCCTAGGCTCAAACGTTTCCTTTTTGACGAAACTTTTACATATTTGCACTTGTCCAGTTGGGTTTAAAAAGAAAACAAACAAATATATATAATCCTATTGTCTTCCTCTACCCTTTCTACCTTTTGTATAATCTTTACCAATGAAGTTTTTTTGTAAATATTTTGCTTGTTATTTCCACATTTATATGTTACAAATTAATATGAAAAAAAGTGTAGTATAAAAGATTCATTTAAAATTTATTATTATGTGTGTCTAGTCACAAAGTCTGGTTTACAGAAAAATATTATTTCTTAGTTCGTCACACGAACATATAAAAATTGAAATAACTTTGTTTATCACATTATTATTGTAATAAAGGGAATCATGTTTTTTAGTTAAAAAGTCTTATATTTTCTTCTCTCCCTATTTTCGTTACAGTTGTTCAAGTATTATTCACAGACGCAGTTAACTTTCTGATAAACAAATCTGCATTGGCACTCACTAGTAAAAGGGAGATTCTCGGAAACCAAACACACGTTAACTGGGCATCACACTATTTTATCAGTGGGAAAAATAGTGAACCCCTTCAATGGAGCAGAGATAAAAATAAGAAAAAAAAAATCCAGTGGTGAAATGGACCACACTACAAACTCAAACTCATAACTTCTGTTATACCCGCCTGTTCCTCTCCTTGATTTTGGGACTTCACCAAAAAATAAATTAGAAAAAAATCATAATTTCAGTGTTAGGGGTTGGAAAAATTCCAATTTTTTGAAAATAAGATGTACCTCTAATGTGTTAGGACTGTTGCTGACCTAGGAGAGAGTTTTCAATGTTATTAGTATCAACCACGTTTTCACTCACAGGCACTCTGGATTAAGGAAGTCTGAGAAAAAAGCAATACTTGGCAATGTTAGGGACTGAGTCGGTCTTCAAGTAAATTTGAGATCACCTGTAAAAAACCTAAACATGTCTATCTGTAGACATATTTAAAACTGTGTTGCCCTAATGATGACCTTAAAATATGTCAAAAGCTTGGCAGTAACAACTGAATTTGCTTTTTTCTTCAAAACCAAACCTTGATCCAGTGCTCGCTAGGAGAGTGACGGAAGTCATGGAGTAGGGCTGGACGCAACGTATTGAGAGCTGAGGCAACGTAGACCACACGAACCTGACGTTGGATCGGTGGGGGCTGACAGATATAGGCAAGCGGAGGCAGGCAAGGCGAGCGAGAGAAGGAAACAAGGAAAAACTAAACATTAGCAGAGCCACCATCATTTTGGATCACATCAAGTGCAATCCAAATTGTATACAATTCTGTCACTTAAACACTACTAGTGCAGGGTAACGACCATGAAGTGGACTAACCCTCATGATATACAGCACATGCCACTATACACGGGCACTTAGTTTTGGGCAAAAGCCCATGTATGGTCCCAGTATGCAGAGAAAAGTTGTTTCATCTAATTGAAGGTCCAGTTCCTTGGCTCTTTATAGGAATGCCACTTGATATGAGAATAATGCTTGAGCAAGACAGCGAGTATATGGGTCTCATGTTTCAATTCTTGGAGGAAACATCTAATGCTGATAATTTGGTTTCCCTAATGTGTTGAGAGTGAAAGTATTTATTGGCATGAATGTATAAGTGATATGGCCGATAGCAGAATATTGGGTACCCCACCACCCTAACTGACTAAATGGCATGTAAATAAGAAAGAATGTATTTAAAGATGAGAGAGTATGAATGGATTTATTATTTTTTTAACAATTGTAGTATTGCAACTAACAGTGAAAGTTGAAGTTTCCACCATTCTGACCTAGCTGAGAGTAGTATCTTGTCATCCGTCCTCCTAGCTCCAACTCTTATGTGGATCAATGTACTGGAATGAGTAGACACCACCAGGAAAAAAGGTATTCCTTGTTCCCTCTTTTTGGCATCCTTTCTCTGTAACACTCTTCTCATTCGTCTTGCCTGTCCACACTTACCTATTCATATCTGCCCCTACCAGTCCGTCACCGTTGTTCGGCTCTTTGCCTTCCCCCCACGGATCTCAATCCCCACTGGACCATTTGTCAGTTTAAATTAGGTCAGCTACAATCTCCAATACATTAGAGGTTCACCCTTATCGTTAAAATCCCCTAATTTTGGGGGACTAGGCACCAAAATCAAGGACGTGAACAGTTGGGGAAATGAGTCAAATGATTATGTAATTGAATGCCAAATAAAATCTTCCTTTATTTTATTCTTCAGTTATATTAAAAACAAAATAATACAGTTTTAAAATATAAAACATTGTCACTCAAGAGGTGGCAGAGGTAAGTGAAGTTGGCGCATGGATTCTCATAAGATTAACACTGACTACTTAGCTTTCCTTGACCTTGTTTTAGTTTCGGTTAAAGATTTATTAATCTGAAATAAATTATTAAATATATAAATTTTTAAAATTAAGTTATTTATTTACAACTGCACTTTAAATATGCAACAAGCAAAAATATTTAAATTGTTATTATATTGTGTGAACATGCACACAAAAAAGGGATCCAGTGATGGGAGCCGTTAGTTCACCAACAGAGTGGAGATCACTTGGCAACTATCCTTTGCCGATGTTAGGCAGTTAAGATGCCGCATGGCGAATGTCACTTCAGTCTCCAATGAGGATTGGCAGTTAATGCTGAGGATGGCAATTTGCAGATTGAGGGGTCTGAGTGATCGAGTAATTTAGGAAGAAAAATTTTTGTAACAAAATTGGGCTAAGTCGGATATGAATGAGATTTTAAGTCAGTATGAATGGTTAGAGACATAAAAAGGAGCCTTAAATATTGTTTAAATAATTTTATATTGTAGGGTTTGTAGCCTGTTTATTGGCTCCGTACAGTTCAAGTCCATAAGTCCATAGTGTAGTGGAATTAACAGGGCAGTATATATATATAGCCCTTTTTGTGTTACCGTAAGTTTGGATTGCTTGTCAAGTAATCTTTTTAGCAGTCTGAATCTTGTATTTAAATTTTCATGTTTGAATCTCATATGGGGATTCCATGTAAGTTGTTTGTCGAGGTACAGTCCAAGTATTGTATGTGGTTTGCAAACGGGGATGGTAAGATTAGTGAAATATAATTATTTTTTTGTTAAGAGTGAAAACAATGTACTTAGATTTAGTTTTATTAACCTTGATTCTCCATTGGCAGAGCTAGCATTTGAATGAGTGTAAATAATTTTGTAAATTATGTGAAGCTCTAAAGGGGGTCTTTATCAGAGGTGAGTAATATTGTGTCATGAGCAAATATAAAAATGAGGGGGTAGATCAGCCGTGTAGATTGTGTAGAGGAGGGGAGCGAGAACACTCCCATGAAGAACACCAGTGAGAATCGGGTAAATGGAGGAGAAAGATGTTTTGGGACAGGTATGCTTTTAATATCAGGAATATAGTAGATGATAGGATGCCCTTGAGCTTCCTCAGAAGCCCTGGGTGTCATACCCTATTCAAATACCTGAGATATGTGCAGGGCAGTACTGTTTCAGCTCGAGGGCGGCGGCCATGATGTGTACAATGCAATGAGCTTGATGGGTAGTCAAGTGGCAATTGGTGATTAGGAAAATATGGGATGGAATTTTGTTAAAAAGGCGGAGCAACAGTAGTTTTTCAAGATCTTTTTGATTATAGGTAAAAGACTGATTGGTCAGTAGCAACTAGGAAGGTAAGTCAGTTTGTTTGGTCTAAGAATAACTTTTATTGAAGAGAATTTCCATTGGGGTAGGGAAGTAGGTAGTATGAAGGACAGTGCTGAAGAGATGTTAAGAAAATTATTGCTTTTTTGGGAGACGGGATAATATTTTTGGAGTAATTAAATCATAACCACGACTTTTTGTTTTCCGAAGGTTACAGACGGCCTGCTTGACTTCTCTGGGTGAAAATGGTTTGGGGGGAAGAGGAAAGTTGTAGAGGTTTGTGAAGTTTGTTGAACTGGAGGAGGGAATTGGGTTGTGTATATCTGGGTGTGGAGTGAATGTTTAATAAATACTGTGCTTGAAGTTGGGTTAACATTTAGCACATGATCCATCTGGGGGTAATGGGAGCAGTACCAACAGGCTCTTGCTCGACTCAAGTGTTGTAAGTTGTCTTTAGATGTAGTTGTAAATGGTAAGGTATAGTTGGTTCGTGGGGTGCCATGTATGGAGTCAAATGCCAGATGCTTCATTGTATAGTTAATTAAACTGTTCTACACAGTTGTGTGATGTCTTTAAGGGTACATTTAATTTCAATTTGTTTTCAAGAGTACTTCAAAATAGTTCCCAGTTAACGGGTCCATTTATTAATGTAGGTCAAGATGGGTTTATATTTTGGTGAATATGCCTCTGGGCTATGGTCTGAAGAAAGATAGTCTAAGGTATCAGTATAGAGGGATCTAATATTGAAGCAAATAAAGAAATCAAGCAGGTCAGGTCGTAGGGAGGTAGGCTAGTCGGTTGGTTGTGATGGCGATAGGAAGGAAAAATTGGTTTGGGTAAGAACAGTGTAAAAGTTTTGACCTCACAAATTTGCCACACGATTACCTAGCTTGAGTGCTTCGTGTTAAAGTTGCCACCACAGGTACATCGGGGACCAGGGTATCAAGAAAAGATAACAAGAGGTTTTTGTTTATTGTTTGGTTAGGAGGACAGTACACTGCTGATGTAGTGTAATACAAATTACTCTGACAATAGAGAAATCGTGGTTTCTTGGAAGGAGGGAGTTGCGAACAAAAATTGCTGTCGGGGTGGGTTAATTGTGTAAGCTGTATAGCCTAGGATGTAAAATCACGTTCTGTTAGTAAAGTGAGTTTCTGTTATCAAAACTATTACTATTAAATATAAAATATACATTTAGACATACATTTTATAAGCCAAGTTATTATATGTATTGTTTATTACCTTTTCCTCCTTAGCAAGGAAATTTTCAAGCATTTCTGTGTCCTTTAAACTTTCCTCAGGTTCCCAGGTGTCATCCTCAGAAGTGAACCCTTTCCATCGTACAAGGAACTTCCTTTTCCCCGATTTAAGAGTGTCCATTTTGATAATTTTTTCAATCTTGAAATCAATTTGAATTATTGACAATTGGCGTTGAACTTAACTTTCTTGTCTTACCTCCCATTCTTCATCTTCTGACACAGATTCTGTATTTTGTACATTATTTTTTTGCGATAAGTACTTCTCAATCAGTTCGTTACAATTAAGGTCAGATTCATTTTTCCAAACATCATGTTTAGAACTCTGTCCCTTCCAACGGATTTTATATTGTGTTATTCCATTGAGTGTTCTATGATTTGTAATCTCTTCGACCTAATGTAGATGCAAATTATTAAATGGTAAATTCTAATCCTAGTTCATCACTTGCAATAAAATATTACCTCTAAAATTTCGGATTTTTTCTCAGAGCTGTCCTTCTTTATAGAAATTAAGTACTCATTAATAAGCTCTTTGCAGTTAAGATTGGACTCTTCTTCCCATGAATCTTCACTCGGACTGTAGCCTTTCCAGCGGATTTTATACTCAGTTTTTCCACTCTTTTCCCTATGGCCAACAATCTTTTCAACCTGGAAAGTAATAATCTCTATAATATTAAGAAAGTTTTGGCTGAAGGCAATTTTAATGGCATAGAAAGAGAATAAGATAGAAGGAGGGTAAACACAACATTTTAATACAATTTTTCTCTTCTCTCACCATATTATACATCACTGGAAAGAAGAACTTCTACAAAATAAGTTTAATTTAAAATTTATAAACAATTGCTATCAGTACTTATTTTAATCCGGAAGTTAACTATTTTGTTTTTTATTCAGATTAAAATTATGAAAAATTTTACGCGAGGATTGTACAATAAGTACAAGTATATTTACAATGATTATTTGAAGATCGTGAGATGCGGTCTGGTGTGAAGTAGGTTTTAGAAAAACATTATCTTTATCGTGCCAACATTTCAATAGCAATAAAGATTGAAACGTAGGCACGATAAAGAAAATGGTTTTCTAAAACCTACGTCACAACAGACCACATCTCACGATCTTCAAATAATCATTAACTAATGGTCACTAAACACCACACATATATTTACAATAAGTCACAAGGACAAAGTTTTGAAAAAATAAGTTTGATTGTAAATTCCAAAAAAATATTTATACATGGACAGTGTTATGTAGCCATGACAAAGATGGACATTAAAATAGAATGCCAAGAAAATATTGTTTTAGACGAAGCGTTGGAGTAGTGTAAAAGTTATTTTTTACTAAATAACTTGCCAAAAATCGAGAGGTGTAGAAGTTTTTGAGATTATTTATTTGGAGTTGCTCTTTTTTATTTATTTAAAAAAAACCTAATATAAAATTAGCAGGGGTTCTGCTTGCCAACCCGCAGGCCACCTTACAACAGCTAGCACTTGCCAGCTTTTTTGCAAGACGAGCGAAGCAGAGCCCTTAGTTTTCTATAAAATATTCCTACAAATCTGTTTAAAATTAATTGAAAACTCTTACCTCATATTCGTCTGATGAATATTCCATTTTCTCTTCTTGATTTTGCTTTGATTCATTTCCTTTCTTATTTAAGTTATTTTTAACTTTATTAAAGTTATTTTTCTCCTTCAAATGAAAATGAAAAAAAAAAAAAAATTATGTTTGAAATTGTATAATATTGACAATAGAATTATGATTGCAATTTCATGCGCAAAATCATATTACTAACTCAAAAGCCTATTGAAACTTATCAGTTATGGCAAAAAAGAAAGCCATAAGGAATTAATCAATTAAAAAAATAAAATAAAAATTAAAAATTAACCACCTTATTCTTTCCCACAGCAACTGAAGAAGCATTTGTTCTAGACCTTTTGGGCAATCTTTGAACGTATAATTTATAAAACTAATAACAAAGATTGCATTTATTTAGGTGGTACCTTCTAAAGAAGGACACTCATAAAACATATTTTTTTTAAATTATCAATCGCATTATAAGAAGAAGTTTTGGGGAAAACACAATGAGTTAATTACTTATTTGAACAGCTTACGTTTCACAACTAAATTCATTAAGTTCTGCAATCGGAACAATGATTTCAAATAAAACTTAATTTTTTTAATAATTATTAAAATAAATACTATACTGCTTAACTTTCAAAACTAAGCCCATAATTGGACATATTATGTTAAACCTACCAGACTCGGTAACAAAAAAATAGGGCTGGTTACACCATTTCTACCAAAAAATATATGTTGTTTAAATGAACATGAGCATCGAACAAAATATAAAAGCCTTTAACATTGCCAATGAAAATTTGCATAACAATCTCAATGGACTCCAACTGGTCTTTCATTTGTTCTCTAGTTGCTGCGCAGTAAAAAGTAATACACAGATCCAATAGATGACAAATAAATTTAAATTTGTTTTTCAAATTTATAACATGAGAATTTTCTTACTTTTGTTTTTTTAATTGAGCTTGCTCTTCTTGCAGGAGTCCTCTGTAAATAAAATTAAAAAATGTCAAAAAATTGTTTTTAATTGGTAAAAAAGTTAATAAAATTTAACTTTTATTATTATGCTCACCATTGCAGTAGTTTTAACTTCTGAATTTTTAGCGATCTTCATTGCTTTCCCACAAATATCTGACAAATAAATATATGAATTAACATTATGCTTGTTAACTAACAGTATAAGCATTGTTTTCCATTTTTGTTGATTATTAGTCAAGGACTCAGCCAGGGAAGAAAAGATCAGAGTTTTTAAATTTTAATATAATTCGCATAAATTTTCACGAATTTTGTCTTTATCACACACCCTAAAAGAGTGTGGCATGAATCTTGTCTTCATCACACTCTAAAAGAGGGTGCCAGTAGTGAGTAGATATAAGAATCTAAGAGAGAAACATTGGGTTATATAATGCAAACATAAAAACAGATTGTTGTCTAACAAAAACTCTTTTCTTCCCTGGCTGACTCGACTAAAAATCACTCAAAATGCAATAGACTATGGTTCTGACAAGATAACGCCAAACAAACTCTTACATTCTTTAAATGTTTTCTACGATGATAGTAAATTGTATATAAATATATACATGTTTAGTGGTCATAATTGAGCATATTAATTGAAATTCTATATAAAAATGGTGCTGCCTCTTAGTTACTCATATTTTTTAAAAGTTGTTTCAAGTTCACAGAGGCATGAATCCTGTCCCATAAGTGTTTTATGGGAGTCATGTGAGGAGAACGTGCTCGCCAAAACATTGTGATAATCCCTAGATCCTCCAAATTATGGGTGCCAACTCGAGCTACATGCGGTCAAACATTATCATGTATTAAACCCTAGGTTTTCCCCAATAGGTGGAGCGAATGGGTCCACAACTTCCAGAAGAATTTCCTCAACTTACTTCAGTCAAAGATCAGTTCGGTACCAACATACCATAACAGACTGTTTTTGAATAGGCCACACCAAGCAAAGTGTACTCTACGTCTTCTCCACACACAGTCCCAGGCATCTGTGCCACAAACCAAATCAGCGCTCATCTATGAAGGGAACAATCACCCATTGTTCAAGTGTCCAAGCAAGATGCTGACTTGTGAAAAGTCGCCTTTCTATCTGAGAGATGAGGTTACTTTCACCAAGCCTTCTAATGACTATTTTAGAGCTCACGCTTACAGACCGTTTGAAGTTGACTATAAGGAAGCCAATAAATGCGGTTCTATAGGACAGTAAGAGCAATACAATTATCATCTCTAGCCATTGTACATCGCATTTGACCACAACCATCTCTTTAATCTAGACTTCCAGTGGCTCTAAATCGCTGGAGATCATTGTGGCTGGTAAAGCACGGCCCACCCAGGACTTGGGCTATGAATGGATGCTTCTTCACCCAAAACATACTTATAAGAAAAAAATTAATAATTAATTATTTACTAAAATTGACTGTTTCATCAAAGAAAAAAAATTAAAAAATCAATTACTCACTCAACAGGTTGGTCCTGAAAAGGCTGAAATTGAACTAATTTTTTTATTTATTTTTAATCTAAGAGTGTTATAAAACACTCTATAAAGATAAGAAAAAGGCATTATTGTTATGTTTAAGTTTTAAAGTAATAATTAATCTTTATACCTAGTTATTAAGTAAAATGAGAGTATTTTATTTTTGTTTATTTGATCTCTTAAGGATCAGATGCTTGTCAACCCTACTTAATAAACCAAAAGTGCAAAATATTGTCTAATGAAACGTCGAAAAGTGTCTCACAGACAAAAACAGTGAGACGATTCAACAAATTCTATCAACTGCGTCAACGATTGAATTTTACAATCAAAGCTACTTTCATTATTTCATAATATTTTGGAATTTAGTAAATTCTTCCAAGTAGCAAGCCAAAATTTAACATAAATAATTAATTAATTAATACTGTTTCTCTAGGCAAGCACAAAACAAATATTACTGACAGGAATCTGATTGTCTGAGCTTTGTTAAATGTTATAATCTGTTTAAACAGCTTTCAAGAAAGAAGAATACTTTAAGAGATTGCTTATGAGTTGAATGCAGCAATGTAATTATAAAAATTATCCACCCATACACCTAATTCTAATAGACATGACTATAAAATAATTTGAGGTTGGTAAAACTCTTGAAAATAACAAATATGTTAACACACAGGGTAAGTTTACGTTCTGTCCCCCAAAAACAAACTTAAAGAAAATTGTTTGACAAACTAATGTAAATAATAATTAAAAAATTGAAATGTTTTAATAAAATATCAACATCTTAAAAACCACCATCACTTCAAAGTTTTTTTTTTTTCGTTCTTCGACTTACTGTGAATATCATAAAAATGTCTTGTAGATTACAAGAAAAAGTGGAGATCATTCTGCTGTTGGGAAAAGTAAACCAAAATTTGCATGAGGCTGAATCGCATTTTAAAGGGCTACAACATCCAGCTAGTTGATGTTATTTAACAAAATTTTTCTTTCGGTACCATGAGAAAATAATTTACTATCAATTAAAATGATAAATAAATTTATGATTTGTTGAATAAGTTGGAGAAGATTTCGTTTATCCAAAAAACGGTTTTTGGAAAATGGAAAATTATCTTGTATGTCTTATTCTTAATGGCGTGAGGATGACCCTGCTAAGAGTCGACTATCGACAGTTCTCTTGATACATGAGAGCTTCTCTGCTGATCCAGCCCACTGATGCTGCCACTTTTTTTTATGCTGAGAGCTAGATCATGACGGTTAAGCCCTAGGTTGGGATGTACCTTAGCTGCCTTTCCATTACCTGATGGACTGATGTGTCCGGGTACCCAGACAATGACCACCGTTGAGCCAAGACAGTTCATGGTATCTTTCCAAGAGAACAAAATGGTTGATAGAGTATTTGTGATTGACAGTAATAACCGAGGTGAGGGAATATGTGCAGTAACCATCATCTTGGATCACCCCAGACGTATGCCAAATCGTGTACAATTCTGCCGTGTAGATGCTGCAGTGCAGGGGAGTGACAACGAAGTGGGCACACCGTCGCCAATCCTACACTGTCTGTGAAGACGCCTAAAACCAGCATAACTCAGTTCCAAGAACTTAGCTTAGTAAATGTATGGCAGAGTAGATGATTTGGCTAACATGGTATGATCATCCCAGATGATTATGGACAGAAGGACCCAGAGCGAAGTCAGCTAGTTGACCAGCACAAATATCGTTCCGTGTCATCCCTGCCCTCCTAAGGCTCCTGGTATATTCTGCCATACTAGCATCTAAGGATCGCATCTGAAAATGTATCACCCAGTGCAGCAAGGAACTCTGCCGGTAAGTTGCTCTGTCCAAAGTTTTGGCAGCAGCGCTCCCAAAGCTTGTAGCACAGGCTTGTCAAAGTACTTGTTCGAACCCAAAGGCCACTTAAATGCCCTGTTAGTAGAGCCTATCCTCAGCTAGTTTGAGGTTTTTTTTTGGGGGGGGGGCTGATGAATATGCAATGCATTGGGGAGTTCTCATGTCCCATAAAGCTTTTCAACCTCACCCAACAATTTTTTTGGTTTGGAATATGGTATGAACCTATCAAAGAAACGTCATATCGGGGCTGACTGAATACAATTCAACTACTGAAAGTCAGGCATTTTCAAAACCAACTCATCTAGACCACTACACGATGGCGCTTCGAAACGGACAGGGACTACTATGCAGTTTTTGTGTGTTCAAAACTGTTACGTTTTTCATTACCTTAAATAGAGAAATATTCAGAAATATGGTGGAAATATTCAGTTCTGAATGCAATGATATGGTTTCTTTCATTTTTTCTCTTTCCTTTTAAATGAATATGAAAAGTAACTAATGATCATTGAATGATGTGTTAAATAATTAGGTTTTCTAACGTAGTTATTTAATGTGTTACATTTTGTGATCGTTAATGAATGATTGTTTAAAGATCGTGAAATGCGGTCTGGTGTGATGTAAGTAAGAAACACATTTTCTTTATCGTGCCAACGTTTCGATCTTTATTGAGATCACCTTCAGGGCCTGGGATTTATAATCGTTTAAATTATACAAATACATATCGCATATGAATACGAATTCACAGAATGATGTACACATTACAGAATATTTTAGGTTTAATCAAAGTATTTGTACTCACTCAAAGTGCGTTTTCTGTGTAGTTGTGTGTCGTATTGAGTGTTAGATATTGTTTTTTGTTTATATATGTTTGATTTTGAAGGAGTGGGAAAGGAAGTAGGGATAGAAATTCATTTTTCTGTGAGGAGTCGGTTTCTTTGAGGTGAAAGGGACCAACAATGGAAAAAAGGGGTAATGGTTTGTCGTTCGGGCCTCGTTAGCCTTTCAGGATTATTAGGGAGAGATAGATTTTTGGAGATTTAGACTATGTAGAAATTGTTTGACATGTTGAGTGTAATTATTGTTAATGTAATGATTGTCTTATGATAAAAAGAGAAAAACATAGAATCCAGGATGGGTTTCAAGAAAAGGAAGGCGTCCAATCAAAATTACTTTAACGAAACAAAATAATAATGTTTAGTGTGTAGAGATTAGTGACCGTTAATCGATAGTTATTCAGATATCGTGAGATGCGGTCAGGTGTGATGTAGGTTTCAGAAAAACATTTTCTTTATCGTGCCAACGTTTCGATCTTTTATTGAGATCATCTTCAGGGCTCAATAAAAGATCGAAACGTTGGCACGACAAAGAAAATGTTTTTCTGAAACCTACATCACACCAGACTGCATCTCACGATATCTGAATAATAATGTTTAGTGTTTCCAGAATTAGACTTGCTTTTAACGTATCAATCCGTTGGAAAAAACTAAAACCGATTGTCAACATTACCTTTGTTTTAAGTCAGACGACGAACTCACAGAACGGCCAGTCGTGAAATGAATCGAACCGGCAAAAGCGTAAAACACCCTAAACAACTTTCCAATTGGAGGCTTAAAAAGTGATTTATGGGTAAAATTGCAGATGGGGACACAAGCCCGTCCGAGGTACTTCCTATATAACCCTTTTATAATATCACATTTTAATTAAAAATTGTTTTGTCTTTATAAACAAGAAAAAAAAGGATATCATGATTTTTTAGTTTGTTCAATATCTTATTTTCATCCTTGTCTGATATTCTTGTTTTTAAAGACGAAAGTTAAATTAATCAATAGAACAGTGATAGTTAAAAAAAGTAGGGACAGTAGATAGTATGTTTTTTATCCTGATTTATAAAATTCTTTGTAATATCTGTACTGGATGGTATAAAATTAATAATAGTTATCGTTTTGTTAATTCATGTACTTACATAAAACAAACATACATAATAATTAATTACACTGATTTAAATCTTTACAGTTTCTGGCGCGATGCGCGCTTTCCCCCTACCACCGTTAAATAGAGAGTTCACTTAAAGATCGAGGTACAGAATTTGCCCTGTTTCTAATTACGAAGAGGTTACCCAGAATTCCTTTTGAAGCCTGAACTCCGAAATAATTTTACAAACTACCTCAGACCTAGGAACGGATATTTTTATGCCTTTTTAAGCGGAGTACCGTTATTCGTAACGGAACTTAAAACGTACACGTTGCAGAAGGCAGAGGACAGAATCGCCTGGAGGACGTGCCGAGTACCAGGGTCTGGCAGCGGTCCGCCATTTTAGCTGGAGTTTCACCACGTGTCACGTCTCTTTCGAGTTTCTTCGGTTCAGGAGTGGATCTCGCGCTTTTTGACCGGCGAAAGCCGTCAGAAAAAGATTCCCAGACATGGATGAACACGAAGAAGAGAAACAGGTCCAGTTCCACGAGATGGGCGTCGACGATCGCATTTTAAAGGTAAAAAGGTGAATTGACAGACTTTTACGGTTTGTGCCTTGGAAATCGACTTTTCAACTTTTGCGTTTCAATTTATACAGGCGATCGCCAAGTTGTGCTGGTTGGAACCGACGCCAGTCCAGGAGAGGGCCATACCGTTGCTGATCGAAGGGAAAGACGTGCTAATTAGAGCCAGGACCGGATCGGGTAAGACGGGCGCGTTCGCCATACCCGCCATCCAGAAGATTTTATCCTTGAAAGAAGTGAGTTTTCTTACTGGATACGTTAAAAAATGAACAAACACAAATAGAAAAACTAGAAAAACACCTGTAGGTACACTGCCAAGTGGTTCGGCTTATAGCTTCCTAACATTTTGTGCATGCACGTGTGCATTTGTTGTTCCGTTTTAAATAAAAATACATAAGGGATCATCTAAAAAAAAAAAAAACCTGAAAATTATGGGGTATGTTTACACTGGAGCTGACTTTTAGCCTGCCGAAGACTTCTGAATTTCAGACACCCAATTCTGCCGATGAAAGCAGTTACATTGGCCTGAATCCTATGGAAGTTTCAACTAATTTTTTGATATAGAATGTGGATGAAATGGGAGTTATTGAAATGTTGACTAAAAATTCACTTTTAAGGTACACACTGTTTAGAGTTGTGAATAGGTTAATGATATTTTTCTGGATAAGGAGGTAACAGGTGTATTTCATACGTTGTTCTTCCAACTGTTGGAAAAGCAATTTGGGGTTGGTCGCTGTAAACAGGGGAAAACGTGTATAATACGCATTCCTGTCCCTTAAGTTTTGATCACTCTGTATGGGAGGTCAACATAACTGTGGTTACAATAAGCGGAACCCACTGTTCAATGAAATGTCTGCAGATTCGGCCTATAAAAATAAATTTATTTTGTTTAGTGTTGTCAGTCAGTAGAGTTTGGTCGAGTAGGTCGATCTTGGTGTAACCATTTCTACCAAAGCCCATTCTGTTAATTACTTTCGGTTGGCTGATGTAAACATACCCTAAGAATCCTACAAATTGTTTCAGAGATATAGCTGTGTACATGATTGTACATTTACACAGGTGATACTGTTGATACAATTACGATAATCTTCATTGGGGACTATCTGGAAACCAACTCTCATAATCCTTGCAAATTTCATCAAAATCCTTTTAATGGCTTGGAGTGTGAACAGGACTACATACATTTGCGCTTGTGCAGGCTATACCGTTGATCCGATTTGGATGAAATTCATAGGGACCATCCAGAAACCAACCTACACAATCTCAGAAAATTTTATAAAAAATGGTCTCCTGGTTTCGCAGTGCAGGGGTTTACAAAGTATTGACTAGTCAGGCACAAAACGAAATTTGTACATAATAAAGGTCTGAAACGCAAAATGCGAGTGGTAGTTTTGATTTTGGAGGGCCACAATTTTTTCAACTTCTTGCATGAACAAGGCTTTGTTTCCTTCCACCTGTGGTATTTTGGAAGCAAAATTATTGACTTTTTTTGTAATTTAGAGTTCACCAGAGCAACATGTGAGGATCCTGGTACTTGGGCCAACGAAGGAACTTTGTCATCAGATCCACAAACATATCTTGCAACTTACAACCAAGTGTTCGAGAGAAGTTAGAGCTGTCGACGTTTCTCCCCAGGTATTTTTGTTTAGATTTTTTTTCGTTCTTAAATTTATTGTACTCTCGTCATTCAAGTAATTATTCACAAATTAACTGAACAAGTCTTCATGAAAGGAAAAAGTGGTATTATGGTTTGATGTTGAATCCCTTGAATGACCGTTAAAATAAACATGTTAATAATAAAATTGAAAATCTTGATAATAATAAAATTGAAAAAAAACATGGACGTAAAAAAAGAACTTTCCCCTCTCCTCCCCCCAAAAAAAATCGTTTTGGAACAGTTTCCAGTATAAATTACAAAATAAAGTAACTATATCATTGTTGTTGTATTGTTAAAAATACATCTAAAGACACTGGAACAACATGATTTTCTTTACCAAGGGGCCAAATATAAATATCTAGATTTTCTCGATGCTGGGTTTAGAAGGATAGTGAAAAAATCTCTTTCTGTGGCATCATGATCTCCCTCAAACCTTCCCTGGTTTATGCCTTTAGCTTTCAATTCTAAACATTTCGTTATAAGGAAAAAAACAATATAGGATAAGGAGGATGACTACTTATTTTTTCCTTATCTTAATCCATGCCATTTTCTAGTTTTAACATGTCATGATGGTCATCGCATGGCTCATTGGTAGCACCAACAACACATTTATGACGGTGAGTGTGATATCGTGCTCTTGCTTCTCCCATTGAGGTTCTGAGGAGCATGCCTACCCCTGCCTGGACACCTCAGGTACTGCGTGTAATATCCGCTCCTAGACTCTTCACTTTTAGACAACTGTGAAGTTGAAAAAAGTGTTCTGTTTAAAACAGTAGAGCCATTATATTGTCTAAATTTCCCTCTTTTACTAGTGCTAAAATAATAACTTTAACTTTACAAAAATAATAACAGCACACTGCTTCTACGAACTTCAGGTCTAAAAATGAAGAGAGTAGCAATAGAGATCGCTCTCTTAGATCTGCATAGTGAGGTAGGGATGAGTGCAATATAACATTCTCAGTACCTCAAGTAGGAACGAAGAGTGCTGACCTTGCTGAATGGGATAAGGTGACATGATCAATGGCATGGCTCATTGGTTAACTTAACAACTTGTACACTTACCGTCTTTTGTGTTTTGTTTTTCATTGCTAGTAAAAGCACAACGGAAAGATGTGCCAACTCTTGGGACATGAACGAACTGCCCCTTGCAGTACAGGCTGACCCAGAATGTGGGACATTGAATCGAATCAGCCCCACAACAATGTTCCCACTGTGGGCTAAGCGTTAGATCCATGTCCCTATCTCTAAAAAATTAATATGTTCACTGCAGAACTGAAGAATTAGTTAGATTTATTATGATATCGATATTATATATTAAATTTGAAACAACTGAGAGCCTGACGGCGAGTCATGATGCCAACACAGCATCATACATATTGAAAACAACTACTAAATACTTTAAATAACTATTAACTATTACTGAATGAAATCTCACTTGGTTTATGCAATTTTGTTTCCAGGTGGATATAGCAGTCCAGAAGCCATTATTGGTCGATCTTCCTGATATTGTTATTGGGACTCCGGCAAGAGTTTTGAAACACATAAATGCCAGTACATTAAACCTGAAAGAGCTCGTTATGGTGATAATTGATGAAGCTGATTTAATGTTTTCATTTGGTTATGAATCTGACACCAAGGAAGTTGTTAAGTACGTTGATTTGTTTTTTTTTTATATCATTTTCCTTACAAAATTCACAGGGCATGAAGAAAATACTTAATCGGAGATTAGTGGGTGAAAATCTAGTGGCATGTTCATAGTTAATCATGACTAGATATTTCACTCATTTGTTTCTCATTGAGCAATCAACAGTACTGACCAATATGCTTTATCAATTGTTGTAAATTTATATTTGTAAAATAAGTAAAACATGTAAAAATGACATGGGATTTTCAAGTTTTCCTTCAACAAGAGATTTTTGTTTGTATAGACATCTGCCGAGGGTGTGCCAGGGTGCTCTTGCAAGCGCAACACTTTCTGAGGATGTTTTGTCCCTCAAAAAACTAGTACTTCATAATGCTGTAACCTTAAAACTGCAAGAGTCTGAATTGGCGCCTATAACTCAATTATCTCATTATAAAGTTTATGCAGAAAAAGACGATAAACCAGCGTACATCTATACCTTCTTGAAGCTTGGGTTGATCAGAGGGAAGACAATCATATTTGTCAACACTGTCGATAAAGGATATAAGTAAGTTATATTAGAGATTGTTGAATGATTTTTCTACTCGCTTCTTAATTTTAAATTAGTTGCTAGCTGAACATTGTATAAATGTTTGGATTCACGTATAGAAATTTGATTTCAGGCTAAAGCTGTTTCTTGAGCAATTTAAAATACCCAGTAGTGTACTCAATTCCGAGTTACCCGCTGCATCCCGATGCCATACAATTTCACAATTCAATCAGGGGAAATATGACATTCTAATTGCTTCGGACGAGGCTACATTGGATGACCCTTTCAACACAAATACAGACAAGCAGAAAAGCAAAAGGGTCAAAGACCAAGAATCGGGCGTTTCGAGGGGAATAGATTTTCAAGAGGTTTCTACCATAATCAACTTCGATTTCCCAATGACAATCAATCTTTATATTCACCGGGCCGGTAGGACTGCTAGGGGGTTGAACAAAGGCACCGTCCTCTCACTTATTAATGTAGGCGAAGCGCCGAGGTTGGAAGACGTTGACAATTACCTAAAACAATCTCTCACAGGCAGTGACACAATTTTTAAGTAATTATTGTTAATTGAAATGAAGATTTGACAAGTAACAGAAATTGTAAATTTTGTCATTATATTTTGCAGAGAGTATAAACTCAGTATATCTGAGATTGAGAGCTTTAAATATAGATCGAGAGACGCTTGGAAAACAGTGACAAGAAGTGCTGTCAGAGAGGCCAGGCTTAAAGAAATAAAACAGGAAATTTTAAATAGTCAAAAACTTAAAGTAAGCATCGAGATTTGAAATTTAAATTTGTGAGTTGTTTGTTAAGTTAGGTTTTAAAAATAAAATTTTGTAGGGCTATTTTGATGATAATCCAAGAGATCTTAAAACACTGAGGCACGACAAAGTGCTGAAGACAGTCCGTGGGCAACCGCATCTTAGCAATGTTCCTGAGTACATTGTACCGGAATCGTTGAAAAACATACCTGGCTTGGTCAAAGTAAAGAAGGCGAAAAAGTTCAAGCCAAGCAATACAGAAAATATGAAATACAAAGTATGCCAACTCCATTTTTAAATCCAAACAATTTCATTAATCTTATAAAATTTATTGTTTCAGTTCAAAAGATCGAACCCTTTAAGCGGATTTGATTTTGATAAGATTGATGAAGAATTGAACAAGACCAAACGAAGAAAGTGATTTTTTTAAAAATAAATAAATGTAAATAATTATTGTAAATATAGTACAATTTTTAAAAAAATATATGTTATCTATGCAGTATAAACAACCCCACAAAAATAATGGTTTGCTTGACAAATCTATCCTTAAAAAACTATGCCATTTAAGTATGATACTATTTATCCTTAATAATAATTATAATTAATTAAGGTTTTTAGTTGAGATAAAAAAGTCTGGCATGAGCGGGATTCGAACCCACGATCTTCGGCTAGATACGCCGCTGCTCTACCACTTAAGCTATCGTGACCTCGATCCACTCGGACACCAACCTCCCATCTCAACTACACCTTTTGAATTTTACCTCCTTTTTGCCAGTGGTAGAGCAGCGGCGTATCAAGCCGAAGATCGTGGGTTCGAATCCCGCTCGTGCCATTGACTTTTTTATCTCAACTAAAAACCTTAATCAATTATAATATATTAATTGGTCAAGCGGACCACGAAATTAGTGAACTTAATAATAATGTGCTGTTGAATTTGTTCAACCAATGATCATTGGCAAGAAGTGCTTATTGTATTGATCCTAAAAGAGAGCAAGGACCTGATCTGGCAATAAGTTAAAGAACTATCCTAGTGACAAACTGCCTGTGGAAACTCTAGTCTATGGTGAACAGTTGATTGACTTGGACAATAAAGGAACTTTACAGTCAATATCAAGCAGGGTTCGGAAGGCATCACTCCTCTATGGACCATTTGTCTCCTCGAAGCTGTTCATATGTTTTTGATTGTGTTCTTTGGCCTCGGATAAATTAGCACAATTTTTTCAGGTCTTCCTAGAGAATCGCAGAATGTGAGTCAGACTGGGATCTGAGCTATTGGGGGACCGGGTCAAAGAGAATGCTATCCTCCAGGGATTGGTGATGAGTGTGATGCTATTAATGCTAGTAGTGAATGGAATTCTTGACTGCACGTCGCATTCCCCCACAGATAAAAAAATTGCTCTTAGCCAATGACCTCTCTGTTGTTGGTAGAAATTTAACAGGTTGGAGAGGTGATGCAATCGGCATTAACCCTGTGACTGAGCCTGAGGAAGCTGGTGTACATACTCTCTTCGTCACAAACTATGTTCAACTACTTTTGCAAACTCAGAATGGCTCACTGTATCAGAAACACTTGGTGCGATGCATGGGGAGGGTGGGTTCCTCAGCCTGATATTCGATGAAATGTTGAGATAGCAGTCATACACCGAAACCGTCGAGGTCCGTTGCAGGAAAACCTTCGGCCTGTTGAAATATATTATTCGCTTCATGTGAGGAGCCAATAGGTAGACTCTACTGAAAGTATGAAGGCTGCTATGCTTGAAACTTTTATGGTTCTATGGTTATCCCTCGGCCCTGAATACATACCTTGCAAAGCTGGATAGGCTCAATACAGCCACTCTATAGAGAGGTAATAACCAGGGCCTTCGTGTGGTTTCAGCACTTTCAGTCCCTCGGCCCAGCCATTGCTGAATGTGGTAATGGAATGTCCACATTTGCTGTAGTCGAGGGAACATTGACAATAGTTGTATTTTTTTACACATTTTATTTGCTTTACTGTACATATGTCACATTCCTAAGATATTGGAGGAATTTAAGATCTTCAATCATTTTCAGTGTTGGCTCCAGTTTGCAAGGGTTCCGACTTCCAATATAAACCTGAGAGTACTACTACTAGACTTAACATTATAGTCTTAACAATCTCAAACATTGACCCCCATTTTTTGTAGATTTCTTTCAAAAGATTTGATCAATCTAAGTATATAGTTATTTAAATATAAAGTTCAGGTGGTTTTTACAGTTAAGTATGGTTGCCTGGTATATGTGCCTTCAATGTGGAAAAATTAGTCGTTTCTGATCATTTTGGTCTGGTTGGTACATTTCGGCTTTTCGCTCTCTTCAGTGGTGGGTTAATTAAATAATGCCTTATAAGATAAGACAAGGACGCAAATGATACTGTTGGAAATGTTTTATTTAATCTACAAATTACATGATGCTATAACTAAATTTTAACATATAATTGTTGCATTGTAATTAATAGTCTATCTTAAAATTGCACAGGGCCTCTCTGGTGCTAAGGCTTTTTGTCATTCTTAAGTAATTTGAGAATGTAAAAGATTGAACACAATAATCAGACTGCTGAAATAAATGGCTTTGTCTAATTTTTTTTTTTTTGGAATGATATTGAAAGATAGTGACAGTTGTAGAATGTTGACTAACGAAAATGTTGAACAGAATGGAATGATCTACACAAAATTCATAGCTAATACATCCGTAAGAAAACTAGTGTTTTTGATTGAGTAGTGTACACATCAACTCATAAAACGTCCGCTCAACCCATCTCCAATTTACTCTGTTTTATGCACTTAAAACAAATCTGGCAAAATTATATTCGGTAACAACAAACCATCGGATTTGTACACACAGTGACAGAAAGGATTTTATTGCTCGCTGTATAACAACCGACAGGGTTAAAGTTTGTAAGTCGGATGATGGCTATCCATGTTGCTGAATTTAACAGACTCAGGCAAAAGTCTTGAGATCAAACGGATGGCTCGCACTTGGCATACAGGGTTTCCGCCTTAGCCTTGGCCAGCTCCGACGCTTTCTTAGCCGCGTCCCTCAGCTTCTCAGCGTTTGTCATAGGGGCATGTGGTTGGATCGAGGGTGGGAACATCGAGGACAAGACATAGTTGAAGCCCCGCACCATCTTGACACAGTTCTTTTTCAACCGTTCCACTCCAAACGCCTGGATGGCTCGTCCGAACCCTAGCACTTGAGAATCTACCCACGCAGACCTCTCTGCTATAGTCCAGTTGGGGTTCTCTTCGCTAACTCTGTATGTAACCTTTTCAACAACACTCTGCAATAAAAAATATGAAATAATTTAAAAACAACCTATTCTGAAGATGTACAAATGAAAATAATATAAGGGGTTTTCAATATTTTTTTTTAAATATGCAATCACAACCACTTCTATCTTCTACACTCTTAATATTTATTAGTACTGCTTTCCATGCTGCAAATTGCAGCAAAGAAGCAATTCCACTCACACCAATATAAAAATGTCAGTTTCAAACTTACAACAATTATTTTATGAACCATCTAGTTAGTATTACTGTCCGATTTCTTCTGGAAATTTTTTCTGATCATCCTGGTCCTGTCACACTGTTTCTATCAGTGTTTTGACATTCTGCTATCTTCAGGGATGGTTTTCTTTTGTAAAATGGGTAGGATTTAGGTCATAATACACTAAGAGGCAAAAAAAGTGGTCACCTACATATTTTTTAGTAAATACTTGCATTCATTATAATCTTTTTTTTGTTTAATTTTATATTTTTAAAGAATAATATAAGATATAGGCAAAATAAAAAATTAAACTGATTAAAACACTTTTGCCAAAAAATTTTCAATGGAGACAATGAAGAAAATACTCATTTCAGTACTGAGTATTTCTTCCTCTTGCACTGATCCGTGCTTACATTCGAGTGGCATTGATTTTATGAGGTATTGAATGTAGGCTGTGGAATAATTTCATACTACTCCAACAGCGCCATCCTTAATTTCTGCAAATTTTCTGGCTTCTCTGGGCTACCTTTGACCCTCTGACTAGTCACAAAGGTGTTCGATAGGGTTTAAGTCGGAAACATTCTAGCCACTCCAAACGTTGAATTGAAGCCCGTTCCAAGCGGTCACCAACTATCCTAGTGTGGGGCATTGCATCATCAAAATAAAACAGTCGCCAATATGTTGCATATAACAACTTCTTCTGATAACATACCTTAAATGAATCGCACAGCTGTTAGGGAACCCTCGATGAAGATCAAGTTTGTGTGATCTTCCATAGAAATGCCTGCTCAAACCATAACACCACCACCTCCAAAGCTTTTTCAGAGTGAAAATGTTGCGGAGATATTCTGCTCTCCTGTTCTTCTCCAAACCCTCTCTCGGCCGTCAGAACATCTCAAACAAAACCTTGATTCATCCAAAAACAAGATTTTAGTCCAATCTTGCTCAGACCAATTGAAGTGATTTCTTTCAAAACTTAACTGAGCTGTTCTGTGCCTTGTTAGAAGTTCTAGACCAGTGGCAGGCTTTCTCACACATAACCCAGCATCTGAAAGTCTTTGCCTTACAGTGTGTACTTGTCATTAACATTTCTAATTTGAAGTCATTGCTTGATCTCAACAGGGTTAGAATGTAGATTACAGAGTATGTGTGAAACAATGAAGCGATCATCTCTCTTAGACGTGACAATTAAATGAGACCTGATCCATGCCTTCTTGATTAACCTCCAGTATCTTGATTGCAATAGAAGACCCTTTGGACAATCGTACTGGGAATGCAAAGCACCCTGGCCACATACGCTTGACTTCTTTCATCTTCCAACAATGCTATGATTCTAGCCGAAACTCAAAACCATCACTCAGATCAATTTGAAACTTAAACATGGCACAACTTAAACAAATAAAACCACCAAAACATTAGAAAGCTTTTACTGAAAAACTAACTAAGAAGAACTATTCAAATATTTGTTTACAAAATACAATTTTAAACACAAATGGGAGATGCTGCTGTTTTATTTACCTCTAATCCTTTAAAACAGACCAAATATTATTGTAAGATAATGGAGGATTATCTAAGAGGTCTTAAAAATAGTAAGGGTGGCCACTTTATATGCCTACTAGTATACAAACTAGTGCACAATACAAAAACCTACAAGAGACTAGGGTGATCAGAAATGTCTAAACTAATCATTGATTTAATTTTAATGTCGCTGTCATAAAAGTATATTTGAAAATATAATTACAGTTTGACCACCTACCATAACTTTTGTGTAACCAAGGTTTTTGGTGTAAGTTGTGAGCACCTTTTCTTTAGGATCTACAACCGACTCCTCGATAACTTTGACAATTGGTGTCCCGACGAACCTTTCTCCCCACTTGGGGACCCTGTTTGTTTTAGTTAGAAGTCTTTTTGTGAACAGCTTATTCCCCTTCACTTCCCTGTGAATTGTGTCTTCAGACAGGACGTGCTTGCTGTATTAAAAAATTAATTAATTAGATATTATGTAAATTAAAGTTTAAAAGCCTCCTACCAATTCCTGAAACACTTCCTTTCACCGACATTTTGTTTACTAATATATTAGAAAAAAGAGACAACAGAATCAGCTAGATTAAATAATTAAATAGTAATAAAATAGTTTTCTGTCCTGTGTTTCTGTATCAGTTATTTTGTTTCTTTGTAAATTTCCCACTAAGTTCACCTTTGGTTTGTCAATTTATTACATGGGCTGTAATAGATGGTAAAAATAATCATTCCCTATTTTTATTAAAAAAAATTAAATTTGACCACTCCTTTTCTTTATTTTGTGATTGATAATTAGCCATAGGTTTGAATAAATTTAAATACTAGATCAGATCTGGTGTTATTTACTTATTTTTTTCAAGAGATGAAAGTATATAGAGGAATTGAATATCTCTTTTAATCGCTGATTGAAACGGATAGTTCTACTTACGAACTGGTTTTAAGCAGCAACCTGGGTTTGGAGCTTTAAATGCTCATCATCAGGCTGAAATGTACAAACACATTTTATGACAGAATCCTATGGTTTGAAAAACGTGCTTGTGCATTTCTGCCTGATGATGTGCATTAACACTCCAAATCTAGAACTATCCTTCCTACTGGAAGAATTTCATCTTATTCCACCTCAATTATTTCTACTTTTAATCACTATTAAAAATAAATAAATAAATTAGAAAAAGGACAACAATAACAAAGAAAAGAAGAATAAATATATACAGAATGAAATTTATGCTCTTCATTTTCTTAACATTCTTTTGTACCATTATGGTGTGGTTTTTATGAATCAAGCAGTCAGTTGAGTCTTTTTTTCTTCCATTATAATAATCTGTAATATTTTAACACATAAATATTGCTATAAGAAAATAGTTTTAATATGCCTAAATGAAAGCTTGGGAAAATTTACAAGTTCCACAAATTCCAGTACAAATCTAAACAATTAATTATATCATTCCCAAACTTTCCACTAAAAACGTTTACTTCCTTGAATAGAGCCAGGGTTCCCATGGCTTATTACAAGGATCTCAAGGATGTCAAATAGTTAAAGAGCAAGGTTTTTTTTCTAGCCAATTGCCTCTTTAATTGTTTCTTACTATTCCAAAGCACAATCTTATCTGATTAAACAGTTATCACTTGTATTAATCTAATTATTAGCAGAAACCAATGGCGTTTCACATCAATACAGCTGAATTCTTGTCTGTGGTAAGTAAAAATTATCATTTTACAAGAGAACCCTGTATGAATAATCATAATAACCCTAATGAAAAAATAAAAAATGCAATTGGTTTTGAAACACAAATTTCAGTGCTGGAGCTAGGTCAGGTCTCTGAAGACATCTTTGACCAGTAAAAATAGTAACAGAACCACAGTCAGCCCTCAAAATGGTTGTACAAACAGGGCAGATACGAAAAATGAGGTTAACAATAAAGAACTGAACCTTCTGAATTGACTTAATAAACAATCTAGGATATTTAAGAAGAATAGGTTGTTTAAAAAAAGGGCGAATGAACAAGGGTCAAAAATTATTTACTAAGGATGGATTATTTATTTATTTTTATTTGTGACAATTCTCCACTTTTCACACTATAAAGAACCTTGCATAACAAAATTTCTGTGATGTATGAAGTAAGGGCCTAGAATGCTGCCTTGTGGTACACATAATATGCATTATGACATTTTACCAAGTTACCAAATTAGACAATCACCTTCAATCAGTACACAGGAATCGAAAGAAACGAACAAGCAGATTGTTGAATCCTTTTTTGGCAGGAAGCTGCCACACTTGACAGGATGGACCTTCTGTTGGGTAAAAAATACATGTGATTAAATAAATTGTTAGAACAAAAGACAAGACAAGGAGTACTTGAAAATCTCATCACAATTGAACATTTAGGGCCTGGGGACAAGTGATATTCCATTTCATTTTGATGTTCCTCTTCGAAGATCTGCCTTATGCAAAGGTTGAATCAAGAGTTGATTTAAAAATATTATGCTGCAAGAGTTTTAGATTTGCCTAAACAGGAACAGTCAGGAATTCTGTGGTACCAGGATCGGGAGGCCTAAGAGCCAGGGGACCAGCCTACCACCGATTTATCATATTTCACATTTTGAGACATCACACCACTGTTTCGGAGACGTCTCAAAAACTGTGCATTTCATGTGTCAATTAGCACTAAAACAGTAAGAAGGTGATTTGTAGAAATGAGTCTACATCCCAGAAGGCCAACAATGGGTCAGCACGTACTTGAGACCATTGTCAGGACTTCTTAGAGTTTGCAAGGGACACCGACATCGGACGACAACTGTAATGAAGGAATGTTATGTTTTCAAACTTAGTTTTCTCTCCCTTCACCAGATGGATGTCTTCGAGTTTATTGGTCTACAGCCAATGCAATAGAGGTTCGTTCGGAAGTGGTTCAGTTATGATGAGGAGTGGAACTACTTTGGAGGCAAAAATGGAGTTAAACATTTTATGCAGAAATCTACGTGAGAAATTCTTGAGGATGGTGTAGTACAATTTGCTTCTGTTGTTGGCAATTTTTGTTTAAGCAAGGTTTGCAATACCAACTGTTACCACCAGTGTAATGCAGTACCTTCAAGATGTTAATAATTGCACTCTAAGAAGGCCAGCCCATATCCCTGATTTGAACCACATTGAGCACACTTTTAGGACAAGCTCAGACATTGGGTAAAATGAAGAAATAACCCACCTAAAACCTTAGCTGAGCTGAGTGTTACTTTAGTAGATTTGGGATGAAATCCCTCAAGAAGTGGCTCAAAATTTAATTATGAGCATGTTTAAAAGATTAGAGTGAGAAATAAGAGCTAGAGAAGTAATACAACCTATTAAAGATTTTTAAGTTTGTTTTATATGTTTTATTAATCCATATACCAAGACCTTAGATAAAAAGTATAATTAATTGAAATTATGTTTTAAATTCATATTAATTTTATTTTCACTAAACAAATCTTTTAATAAATGCCTGAATTATAAAAAATGCAGAGAAAGGTTGCTCGATGTGTCCCACATAATAGAGGCGTGTCATGCCTTGGCTCCATACAGAGAGCGTGTAGGCATGCCGCCAGATTTAAGAAGAGTCCTCGAGCACGGTAGCGAGTTTCAGAGTCCCCTGTTCCGCTTTTTAGGGGAAATTGGGTTTTTTTTATTGTATATAGTATGTCTTATATGTTATGTGACTATATGTTTTGTCTGTGTGCATGTATTTATTAGCGTGAATGGCGAGGGGTGAGGGTGAATGTAACGTCATCATCGCCCCTCGAACGATAAAAGCGAGTGTGTGTTCAGGGTCGATGGCAGAATATTTATAAAAGTACCCCATCGACCCCAATCTAGTTTTGTTTAAGTGTAGGTCGGTGGAGGAATATCAAGTACTCCACCGACCAAACGAAATGAGTGTACTGTATGGATGTATTTAAGTGTATAAATGTATTTATTTGTATGAACATGTATAGAATATAGACTTAGTGGGGGCTGAAATGACCTAGATGTCGGAAGCCCCAGAAAAAAAAAATTATAAAAAATACAGGTATTACCTTTAATTAATTATACTTTTAATCTGAGGGCTTGGCTGAGATGAAAAAGTTAGTGACATGAGCAGGATTTGAACGCACGACCTTCAGCTCAATATGCTACTGTTCTAACTACTTGAGCTATCGTGACTTTGATCCACTCAACACCAACCCCTCATCCCAACCTGCATCCCTCCATTGGTATAATATTAATGAAAAGGCAAATATAAAAAAAATATCAACATTTCAGTGCATTGATTTTTTTTGTGTTTGTGGAGTGTATGTTATCAATATTGAAGGCAGTGATAAATAAGATGAACCGGAATGAACCAACAGTGACCAGATAACATAATCTTGAGAGCTTATGCTAAATATTTTTTGGGATTTGTGAGGAGTGGTCAAAAACGAGTCTTATTCTTGACCGCTCCTCACGAATCCAAAAACTTATGGAACTGGTTACTAAAAAAATACCCACGCTTACACTAAAGTTTCTCATTAGTCACCCCACTTTTACTTGGACCTTTACACAGTAACTGTACTATGTTTTCTATTTTCCGTTTAATCTAGAGAAAATCTAAAGATCATTTGCCCATGATATTTTAATTGAAAATTAAATGAAAAAGGTATTGCAGTGGTTTGTCAACTTGTCCATGACACCAAATATGTAGTTAGACGTTAAGCCCTTCAGCCTGGCAGGAATTACTTTACTAAGACTTCGTCAGCATAGTTATGTCTTCAAAACAATAAAATTAGCTCGCTGGAAAAAAAACAACGTGTTTTGCAACCCACTGCTCCAAATTAGGTTTATGGGTCATAACGATTGTTTTTAATGAACTACTATCAACATATTTTATGGTGTTGCGGAAGTACTCGGTTTATGGCAGGAGGCGAAGTGATTCAGAACCGCGATAACTCACCTTTCTGGATTCGGGTACCTCCTCCAGAATCCCTGGACGACCTGGTCCCAGGTAAACTGAAAGACGGTTTTGCTCTCGTAATACCTGACCATGTCGAGCCCGGTGGATCTTCACTTGTTCATAATCCGGATGAATGATGAAGTCGGTTGAGTTGCCTCGACTCTGACCCGAGCCTTCGCCCTTCTTCAACCAAAAAGAACCTTCGAAGTCCGAAAACGGAAAACGGACGTATAACACAACACTGCAATGCGGACCACCACAATTCCCGTTGGATCCAATATTTCCGAAACGGCCACCGTTTTTTTTTTAAATTTCTTATAAATATTTACGAACAAATATTATTTACGTATTTCTGTGATTTGGACTAGTTTTTCTGGACATTTTTTTGTTGTAATGGAGAATTTTGTCGTGTTTAGACCTAAGCCGTGCTAAAAACTGGAAACTCCCACCGTCGAGGCGACGACACTACTAAAAATGCCATATGACCAAACTTTGGATTTATAATGGAAATATTTTTTTACATATAAAAGTTTGTTTTAGAAACTAAATATTTCGATATTGAAGAAACTTTTACTGTTTACACTTACGGTGGCACTGACGTTGAAGAGGTTTTAAACCTTCAAATAACGTTTGCTCTTGTTTTGGGTGTTTTTCTCGTCCATTCTGGCAATTGTTCACCAACGTTCTTACTGTGTCAATTAAATCGTTTTTCCTTTTTTGTACAATTTACCTCGACTTTCACTCGAGATGACATACCAACTCTACAGGAACACGACCCTGGGCAACACGTTGCAGGAGAGTCTCGACGAACTCATACAGGTTTTTAATTTAATTTTCGATTTTCAAAAAACTTAACTACTTGCTTGCGACTTTCTTCTTACTTCGTTTCGCCACAATTACAAATTGTTATAAAAGTTTTTCTTCTCGAGCAGTTAACCTTTGGCTTAACATATTGATCCGATCGTTTGACGAAATTTGAATTTTGAGGTTTCCTCGTGAGGTCTGTGGGCTATAAACTTGCGGTTTGGCCGTTTCTAAACAGTTTGGATACCCCATTTTCTCTGTCTTCATCTGTCATACCACAGGACTACAATTTAGGCTGACTTAATAAATAAAACCCTATTTCCCAAATGTGTCCCCCTATGTCCAAATTGTCAAGCTTGATTAAAAGATTGGTGGTTACTTTTCCATCCTGCATTAACTAATCTGCAAAGTGTTACTTGACACGTAAATCGTTTTTGTCTCTTTTAAAAAAAACCTTTGGTTTTGATTCATAACTTATTGATCCATTATTTCATCCAACTTAAGCTTGATTTCCTTTGAGATCTGCTAGGTGGTGAACGTTTAGTTGGGTCGTTTCTGATCAATTAGTGTTCCCTGTCCAAACTGTTTTTTTGCCTGTCAGACCAAAATAAAGTTGGACAATTTGGTCAGCTATTTATTTGGTGAATAGGTATTTGTGTCTTGAGAAAGCCTAATTTGTAGTTTGGTCATTGCTAATAATTTTAGTCTGACAGACTGACAGTATGGATGGGTAGCCCAAAATAATCAGAAAAAAGACCGAACCATGGGTTCATTGTTCTGCAGACTTCAAGAGAAATATCACAAGCTTAGTTTTGCTAAAACATCAAACAATATGTTATGATTCAAGATCAAAGGTTTTATTTATAGAAATAATGATTTACTATGTCCAACAACAGTTTGCAGGTTGGTTTGTGCAAGTTATGAACATTAAATAGCCACTAAATCCTTTTAAATGAATATTTGAAGATGATGAGATGCAGTCTGGTGTGACGTAGGTTTTAGAAAAACATTTTCTTTATCATGCCAACATTTTGATCTTTACTGAGATCATCTTCAGGGCTCAAAGTGTTTGTTTATTGAGTAGGTGTGTCATTCTTGTGTGACGTGTTGAGAGTGCCTTTTAAATGAAGTTGGAAATTTGGTCAGCTATTTATACACTATTTATACACACACCAAATTACAAAGTGTTGTTGGACGCCATAAATCGTTTTTAATTCTATAAATAAAACCTTCGATTTTGAATCATAACTTACTGATCCTTTCTTTCATCAAAATTGAGTTTAATTTCCTTTTGAGTTCTGCGAGTTGATGAACCTATCATTTCGATGTTTCTGATCATTTTTGGCTATCCAGCCACACCGTTAGCCTGTCAGCCTAAACTGACAATGACCAAACTACAAATTAGGCTTTCTCAACAAACAAATTTGCCAAATAGTGGTTATTTATCATTCATGGCTTGCTTGCAGAAACTAATTTGAAGATTAGTGTTGCTTGACATCATAAATCATTATTATTTCTCTTTTAAAAAACCCTTGGTTTTGAACCCTGAAAAACGTCAATTTCAACAGAACAGTTTCAATTCTTTTCCAGCAAACCTCATTGTTATGGGTGGTAACTTAAATTATAATTTCAAGTATACATTGGGGGTCATAACAGTATTTTCATAGCACTAATTTGAAAATATCACGCAAAAGAAAATCATTGTGAGGTCTGCGGGCTGACAGTTCTTATCGTTGCTGTTTCATTGCCATCTTTGATGTTGAGTTTGTTGTTCAAAGTAATAATTATAGGCTGAAAAAATATCTCTTCTCAATATGAGGTGAAATGTAGCCTTCAAAATGTACCTTTTTAAAAAGTCAATTTAAAAACCTTAATAGCTGAGACAGTTTTGTTACTATTATTATTTCTCTGTGGTCACTGGTGACCAGTTTCCCTTTTTTCCACTGCGGCCTAATAGACCTTGAAAAGTGCACTATCCTAAAGTTTAGCTCTTTCCAGGGCTCCTTTTTGCTTGTTTCTTTAGGTGTCAATATCTCCTTTAAGAAGAGGCTAAACTGTTTCTGGGCTAATGCATTATTCACAAAGGACATGATATGATGTTTTTCCATGTCATGTCTCAGTTTTTCCATTTTCGTACAAGTACAATTTTTAATTATGCAAATTGTCTGCAAATTCACCTGTCAAAATATCAACAGTTTTATGTAGGAGAAATCAATGGATATTAGAATTCTACATAACTTTTGCTTCAACAATTACAATATATATTTTATTGGGATTATTTTTGGTTCTCCATCTCAATTTCTTACTTAATTTAATTAAAAATTAGTTTATTTTCATGGCTACACTTCCATAGTAGTGCAATTTTTTTTCTAAAATGTTTATGATATGTAGTTTGTGTTTTACTTTATAAGCATACAATATAATAATCAATTGTTTTCTTTTGATTAAAGTATGGGCAAATTACACCGACTCTAGCGATTAAAGTTCTTCTTCAGTTTGATAAGTGTATAAACAACGCCCTTGCCACAAGAGTTCGCTCGAGGCTTACTTTCAAGGTTTTTATTATTGAAATATATACTCATTTTCGTTTATTTGTTCAAACGTCTTTGTTCTTCGGTTTGCAGGCGGGGAAACTTAATACTTACAGGTTTTGTGATAACGTCTGGACATTTATGCTGAACGATGTCGAGTTCCGGGAGGTCCAAGAAGTCGCCAAGGTCGACAAAGTGAAAATTGTGGCATGTGACGGGAAAAGTATGTTCTGTTTTAGTATAATTTCTATTTTTATAAAATATTTATGATTTTACTTATTTGATTGTTTGTCTTTTTTAGGCTTTGGAGATGACAACTCTTCGTCAAAAAGATGATTCGAGGATGATGATTAATTTTATCTTTTTCCTCCTTTTTTATCTTTCTTTCTTGTTTTAATAAGTAAATATTTGTTCTAATTTTACTATACCTTTTCCTGATTGTTTTCAAGTTGTACACACCAAACTAAAATTTCATTTTGTTTTTATTAGGGTGAATTATACTTAAAACTGGAGGAAATTGTGTCTCTAGATTGATTGAAGGTCCATTGTTTTTTATTCCGCATTGCTCTAAATCAATTAGTTCAAATATTCCTTAAAAATTAATAATTATTTATTAACCAAATGATACAATTCCAATCAACAAGTTTAAAACAGATATTGTACTTATAACTGAATTAAGCTGATATTTTTGTTACAATTGCCTTGCCCTCAATCACACCCAGATACCAATGGTATATACAATTAATCCTAGGAGAGATCAACAGTTGTTTGTTAACCAGCTGTAAGAATCCACTAAAATCTATATTGTACCACAATAAGATAAAGAAATGGTAGAAAGGCAGGTTTAATGTTAAGACTAGTGTCAAAGAAAAATTTGCATTGAAAGGCGTGATTTTTTTAAAGGTGTTTCCTTCTCCTTTTAAAAGAGAAATTTCTTTCATTTTCATCATTTCTTTAATGATAAATACATGCTGATCAAAGAAAAATTATTCGCTTGAAGATTTCTTTCAGTACAGCACATCAGTGGGTAGAAAGTTGCCACTGGTAATTCTACTGTACTCTGTCTCTGATCTGTGCCCTATAATCACTCATTTTGTTGTATATTGTTTAATGTACACATATCTGAATGTGTAAAATTTGATTGTTCTTCCAATGTATCAGCATATTTTTAGATTAAAAGCTCTATTTTAATAATTACATTTTCAAAAATGAATTGTTTATCGTTGTATGGTAAAGTGGCGAGTAGTGTAAGTAAAAAAATGTTCATAGTAATTTTTTATTAGTGAATTAGCATATTTAGTAAATAACAGTCTAAAAGAGGAAATAATAATAATTAATGAGATATGATTTCTTCTGAGACAAACTAAGGTTAAATAATTCACCCATACTCAATAAATTAGAATTTTTTTTAAAGGTTGTGATTAAACAGGGCTTCAAATAAAGAAACAACGTATTCAGTGTATGCCGCATAATTAAAAACTTTAATTTGTTTATATTTAGTACCACATATGGGAAAATTCATGATATATTTACAAATATATTTTAATTAACTTGTCGATGTGAAGTAATCTTCCAGAATGGAATTGTACAAAAAAAGGCTAGTTTGCCGTAAGTAGTTAGAAGTATTTGTAAGACAGTTGTATTAAACAAATATAATTTTAATTATTACACATGTTAATCAAAGTTTGATCCAGTCAAACTTTTGTCTATCCTGGATGTTCCCACCCATAAATATGTTATAATCTGACTACACTCCGGAAAAAAATATGGTGTCATCAGTTCTGGGAGGAATTTCTTTGAATTAAAGAAAAATTTCTGAATGCTACCTTTACACAACTGATGATTCCAAAAACAATGGTTTGGAAGTGGCCTTGGTAATAGGACATGAATGTACATTTTCTATGGCGCACCCTCATTCTGTTTTTATAGCAGAATTGACAGCAATCAGTAGGTATGTTAATACACCAGACAATCACAGACACTATGGTTATTTGCGCTATTTCGTCAACTGCACTACAATGCTGAAAAACCAGTTATGTCCAAGAAGTACATCTGGCTGTTGTTAATAACACAAGTCGGTGCTTTTTTTATGGGTACTCAGACATCAAAATACAAAAGGAAATGTATTAGCTGATCAGACTGCTATGGAAGCAGCTCAGGAAGGTGTCAGTTCAGAAGTCACACATCAAAAACATTATATTCAAAATGAGAAGAAAAATGGGCAAACAAATAAACCAAGAGAGATAACAGCCATTACAAAACTATGGTTTTCTTCATATTTTAAAATAACTGAGGAAATAGTACTGACCAAACTGAGAAAAGGGCATTGCTGACTGGCACATGAACGCTTGTGCCTACTAATACATGTGATTAGTGTGTTAACAGTGAAGCATATTTTAACTGACTGAACATTATAAAGCACTGAGGACACAATGCTCTTTGTGGACGAATCCAACTGAAATATTGGGATACAATGCGAGGAATATAGAGAAACTTTTTAATTTTTACAATCACCAGATATGGTAAATAAGACATGAATGGTTTGTTTCATGAAAAATTTGGATGTGCTGATTGTGGGTCCCTGCGGAGGCGACGGCAGCTCTGTGGGTTAAAAGGACCCTATACTCACCAGGCATGAGGATGATGCCCAGAGAATGTGCATGTCTCACCCTCACGTATTATATGCACATTAGATAAACAAGAAATCATTTGATTAGCGCAAGAGAAGTTGCTGCTGTCTGGATCGCCTCGCTAGGATCTCTAAGGGGGGGTTGCTATTTTTATCCTCGCGTACTATCCTTGCAGAAAAGAAAAATGTTGCTGATGTCAAGGCGAATACGACCTAAACGGTTTACAGCTTTTAATATAATTTAATCAAAATTAAAAAATACATTTCTTTCAAGTTTTTTAGGAATCTGTCAATCTAAGAACTTGAACTAAAAGACCTCAATTGAAAATTCAAACAGATATATCTTCAGGTTGGTAAAAAAGTCATTAAAACATGACACTTTTATTTAATTTAATTAGTGTTTAATCAAGTGTGGGTCAACTTTGCTCCTGATAATTTTCACAGGGAGGAGAATGTTGCTCCCGCAGGAGCATTTCCTCCCTGCGACAAAGTCCACAGAGCCGACGGTCACTGAGCACCCAGGACATTTGAGCTTTCCAGACACCCAGTTTAGCTGTAAAACAAAAATCCATCAACTTTCATTCTCACAGAAAGAAACAAAGATACGCCTACATCAGTCACAGCGTCCGAAACCCACTGCGGGTATTTGTCTTCCGGTAAATAAAACGCCGAGAAAGTCTCGTCTTGGCACTTTTCGTTCAGGTACGGTTGGTTGATCCTTGAATAGTCTGCTGACTCGTTGTGGCCGTTCAACAGGCCGTGCTGACTTTCTATCAGGTTGATCCTGCACTTTTTACACTTTAATGTCATCTCCATGTCAAAGTTCTATCACTAAAGTACAATTCATAAATGGAAAGCATTTTAAAACATTTCTATGTAAACCAGAAAGAACAAAGGAGGAAGTTCTCAGGTAATGTCACAGAGGAAGGAAGGTTTCGCTCGTGTTTGTTCTACAAAGTATATAATTGCAATATTTTCTGTAAATTATAAAATATTAACAAACATACCATTGAATAATATTATATTTTCAATTTAAACTACATATAACGCTTTTAGGTTTTACTTCCATTCTGCTTGAAAATTCTGGTATTACAACTATTTAGGTTACTTGTGCTTACAGGAAGAACTAGCTACTTAGGTTCAGGAAGATTGAAGACTGAAGAGTGCCTATGTGCTAGAGATGGTAATCAATATTAAATAATTAATTTGCCCTCATCTTATTAATTATTGGATATCTAAGGACTTTTTTGCATTGTGTAAAATTTCAAATTAGTTTTATTGTGTAAAAAGCTCACAAGAAAAAAAAAATAGATAAAAAATATAGTAATTCACATTATCAAATAATTTAGTAGCCTTGAGACTGAAAGAAAGTTAAGCCATGTAATAATTTTTTTTAAATAATTACTTTTTTGGGAATATTTTTCTGTATGGTTTTTCTTTTACGGGGGGGGGGGTCACTGGTGTCTTGTGTCCCTTTCTTTTTCCCTTTTTCAAAATGATCACAAATTACAAAACCATAGATTCATCACCTCACAGACCTCAAGAGAAAATCGTAGGATAAGTTTAATTAATTATATGTTTTATTTAAGGTCTTGGTTAAGAAGAAAAAGCTATTCACACGTGCGGGATTCGAACCCATGACCTTCGGCTCAATGCGCCATTGGTCTAACCACTTAAGCTATCGTCACTGTAGTGTATTACGCTGAGGTTGTGGGTTCGAATCCCGCTCTTGACACAACTTTGTCATCTCAAGACCTTGGTGGTCAGACTAGTTAAAAACGTGGAAACAATAACAACAATTTAGTTTTTTTTATATATTGTTGTTGTTATTGTACCACCAATTGAATGACAACACCTTAAGGAAGAAACTACAGGTAGCAACCTTAGATAAAAACTTTTCAATTTTTTCAATCAATTTTTAAGTAGGGTATTGGTCAAGATAAAAAATTGGCAAAAAGGAGAGAAAATTCAAAAGATGGGGTTGAGATGGGAAGTTGGTGTCCGAGTGGATCGAAGTCACAATAGCTCAAGTGGTAGAGCGGCAGCATATTTAGTTGAAAGTTGTGGGTTCGAATCCAACTCGTGACTGAGTTTTTTATCTCGACCAATACCTTACTTAAAGATTAATTAATTGAAAATAATTTATTTGGTCAATTGGACCACAAAACCTAATTGACTTAGATAAAAAGTATAATTAATTAAAATAATTAATGCAGTCAATTATGACTACTAAATACATATATTGCTTGGGATTAGTGGTTATTTATGTAGAATAAGGGCGCCTTCCTCAGTACAGAAAGCCATCACCTGGAGGGGAGGGATGAGCAAGATAGTTTAGTGAGACATAAGACGTACACAGAGGAAAAACGGATTTACTGAATGCTAAAAAGGCAAAATTTACTCGTTATGAAGGGAGGCGAGAGTGACACTGAATGCTAATGCTCTTGCTTGTTTAAAATCAATATATAAATAAAACTTTGTTTATTTTTGTTTTAAAAAAATCCATAGTATGCACAAACTAATCTACAAAATATTATTGCTTGATGCCATAATCATGATGTTTTATTTTAAAAAACCTTCGGTTTTGATTCATATTTTTTGATCCTTTGTCAAAGTTAAGTTTGCAAGTTATTCGTGAGGTCTGCGGGTTGATGTACCTATTATTTGGGTGTTTCTGATCATTTTGGGATCCATATCCTTGCCGTCTTTAGCTTGCCAGGTGGAAATGATCACAAATGATTGAACTATAAATTAGCCTTATTTAATACACAAAAACCATTGACCAAATAGCTCTCCATATTGTTACACTTGAGTATAAGTACCATTGAGTATTAGTACACACTAAAGGATTAGTGGTTATTTGCCACTCATAGCCTGCACAAACTAATTTACAAATTAGTGTTGCTTGAAATCATAAATTGTGGTTATTTCCATTTAAAAAAACAACCACTTTGGTTTTGAATCGTAGACAACATCCATTTCAACAAAACAGTTTCAGTTTTGATCATTTTTTTGCAGCAAGCCTGATTTTTATAGCAATAACTTCATATTTGTAGTATTAAAAAAAAAATCACACTAATTTTAAAATATCACATATGCTAAAGGAAATAATTGTGTTTTCTTCCTGAGGTATGCAGGATGACAGTTCTTATCATTTCAGCTATCTACCCTTGCTGTTTGTTTCATTGGTGGTGGATTTGTTGTTCAGAATGATAATTATATGCTGAAAATAATCAATTTTCTTTAATTATTATCATTTCTAATAGGAGGAGCAATGTACCTGACAAGATGTAACAATTATTTGTTGCAAAAACCTTAATGGTTGAGGTACTTTTTTTAAAATATTATTATTAGCTCTGTGGGGTTCCTGGTGAACAAAGTTTCCCTTTATTCTGCTGTGACCCTTCTTTATTTCCAAATCTCAAAATCTGCACTACACTTTAGGAGATTAGCACTTTCCGGAGCTCCTCTCCCTTTCTTCCTTAAGAGACAACATTGCCTTTCAGAAGAGGCTGTACCGTTTCTGGGCTAATGCCTTGTAGTCACAAACAGGCCATTTGTATTTGTGTCAATCACAAGTCTAGACATGGCTCCATTATTTAGTTTTGTTATACATGAAAGTTTAATAAATAAAGTTGATTGTTTCTTTCTTTCTTTCTTTCTTTCTTAAAGGCTGGTGGATTGCTGAACTTGGTATATATTATACCAAAAATGAATAAATCTGTACAAACACATGCTTAGAATATGGTTTGGTTAAACAAAATTTTATTTAAAAAAGGGAAAAGGTAAATAAACAAGAATTCCTTTTTAATAACATGTATTGTATTAAAGTAGGTTTTAACAACCAACCAGAGCTTAGGAATTTGTTTTCCTTTAACTTTGTATATAGTGGTAAAACTATTGGTATAACATTGTTAAAAAATTTAATAGTTGAACGTAAAAATTCAAATATTTAAAAAAATATTAAAATATTTTACTTATTTCCCAAGTGTTGAAGATCGCATTGTCAATTTTTAGATAATAACTGTTCAATGACAAAAAATAAATTAAAATTAAAAAAATTCAAGTCAAAAATACCTTGGTATTTACAACATAAAGCTAAAAGTACTAGGCCTTTTGAGATTAATTTAACTATCTACACTTTAGTTTAACCAACTGGTCCTAAATAAAAAAGTAAAATAAAAAACCTGCTGCTTTTCTTCTAATGCAACTGATACTAAGGTTCTTTAAAAACAAAAGGAAGAAATTTGGGTGGCTTCTATAGCCTATATTTGAAGAGCACTTGAGAGTTTGATTTTCATAAGCTAAGAGTATATTATTTTAGCCCTGGTAACATTTGTATGAGTAACAGAAATTTAACAATTCAAGGGCATTTTGTTTGGAAGATGGAAACGATTCAATTAATAACAATTACCACAGCTAAACGCACGTTTTTGCAAAATGCTTAAAAAAATAACTAGATTTATCCTATATGTACAAATTAGATATATATAAATAGGTTTAAGTACTTTGTAAAATTACATAAGTACTACAAGGTGACAAATAAAGTACTCTTGTTAGAGTTTTCTTAAACTAAGTAAGGCTCCTTTCATAAACCCTAAAACCTTTTTCCAAAAACAAAAGAAACATCTCAGTCTTTATTGAATATGTTTCTTTTCTTTTTCATCCTCGCTTTTTTATTATTAGTTTATAACTAATAGTAAAACATCAGTCTAATATTGACTATTTGCATATTTATATTCATCTTAGAAAGATAATTCTTCTGAGTAATCATTAAAATATACACAATAACAATAAAAAAATGTATAGGCATTCTCAAATAATTTCTGATGGAAACAAATATTTAGGACTAGACTTCATTTTAGCATTAACATAATTTCCAAGTCCTCTTTCTATTATGGTGAACTAAAATTTCAATATCAATGGTAAACTATTTTCTCGACAGACCGTTATCACAATCATATGAGTTTGATTTTGTTACGATTATTCGAGCAATAGTCACGCTAATGCTTTGAATTTCTTAATCCATCAATTAATCATTGTCGCACATTTCGAACAGTTGGAAATAGTTGATGGAATTCTCAAATGCATACTATTCATACTCGACAGTGGTCCCAGTCTCTTCATCGACTCCACTGGGACGTATCGAGTGTCAGCAACTGTTGCGAAGGTCTGCACTTGAGATTTCATTGCTTTCGACCCATTTCTTAAGGGAGAGTTGCATTTGAGGCTTGCTGTAACCTGCCTCGATTCCAGCCGGAGACTTCTCCCCCATTAGTATATTCCGCATCAGCTCCTCAATGTCTACATTTATAATACGCTGCTTGCATATCGCAATGGCACAAATAAAATTATCCCCAGGTGCTAGAAACCTGTGCTCCATATATATGTTTGCCTTATCCCAGAAAACTATCTGAAAAATGAATGTTCGGTATAATTAAAAATGTCACAATAGAAATTTTATAGAAAAAATAACATATATGTGTTGCATGGTTTTACATGCAGATATACAATTTCTTGTTACTGAAAATAAATTTTGCATGTTTATGGCATAAAAGATGCTGAAATATGCAAATCAGCATTTTCATTTATTAGTTTTTCCAAACTTACACATAAATAAGCAACCATATGTTTGTTATTTCATGATATCTAACAAGTTCGACATGTCCCTCTATGACAGGAATAATTCCTTTTCATTTTTTTTCTGTAAGGTTTCTCTTGTAAACTGTGTGCTTCTGTCACTTCTGAAACTATTGACTATATTGTTGTTTGTCAACTATTATTGTTGTTATATTGTTTATCTTTCTACCAGTTTGTTTCACTTTTCCCTTTATCTATTTATCTATTATCTATCTATCTCTATCTATCTGTATCCATATTTATCTATCTATTTACACATCATTTAATAAATTATTGTGTACAATTTTGAAGTTTTAAAATTTCGTTGTAACTGGGAGAAATGGAAAGAAACTATCATCTGCAATAGGCTGATTGAAGCATTTCCAAACTTAGTTTACAGATCCAAAGGAGCAATGACAACACCCAACTCATATAAGTTGAAAGAAAAGTCGTTCGGGGTCCACACAGAAGATGGAAGATGAAAAAGATAACGAAAGTAGTTTATATCTTCTTCAAGTTGAAGTTGACAACTAATCCAAAGAAAAGGTACTATTTAATTAACTTTGCATTCCAAAGTAAAATCAGGCTTGACCTGGCAATTGTTGAAAAAGAAATAACATAAATCAAACGAGAAAATGGCTTGTTTTAAAATTATCTAAGTGTTTAAGTGTGCTTTCTTATATAGCCATGTTTTGTTTTGTTTGAAATAATACATCACTAATTATAGGAAAAGATTATTATTATTTTCTGACAATTGCACTTTAAGAAAAAATATTTTTTCATGTGCCAGACCCAACACTGAAGATGACGAGCAGCCAAAACATGTGTGACAGACCAAAGCAGTAGGGATAGGCAGATCAAAATGTGCCAGACCCAACTTTGAAGATGATGAGCAGTCATACGTTCTGACATACCAAACTAGCAAGGATACGCAGACCAAAATACAAGACAATTATTACTAAAGGTAAGTTTTGGGCTTGCAAACCTTCTGATATATACAATCAAATAAAAGATATGTTATATCTTATGACTATAGGTCTAAATAGTCAAATTATCAATTCGGCTCATTATCACCACTGATTAAACAAATGAGATTAGTGATATATGGGGTTTATTTATGCAGCAATTAAGATGTGTTCATAAAAGAATGAACGTGAATGATTTTATATGAAATGCCGGACAGAAATCACTATTGAAGCATAGACAAAATTTAGTCTTTATTTCATTTTGATCATGAACGGCTATGAAAAAACAACGTTCTTTTAACATTTATCTTCACTTGCTTAACATGTATGACCAAATTTTTAATCACGATTCGGAGTCACGCAAAAACCGGTTCAGAAAGCGCAACTTTTCAAACATTTCCAAATCTTTTTTTCTAAACTGTGCATTCTTGGCAAACCGTACAGTCCGTCTCAAATGTCCGGTTATTACTGTATGGAAACCAATATATTTCTTCAGGGTATATGGGAGTTTTTTAACTATTTACAAAACCACGAACGTCAACCCCAACCAATGGACAAACGAGGTACATATGATATTTTAATGCGGGAGAAGCATAAAAAAATTAAAACCGGTTTCATAAATAATAATGTCTGAGTTGCTGGGACGTGCCTGGCCAGCCGAGGTTGCATTTAATTTCCCTTTCATCTCTTCCAAAACACGGCTTTGATTGGTAAAACGATTAAATTATTAGTTTTTACCTTTGAGGTGATCTTGAACATAGTGAAGACTTTGATAAATTTCCTATATCGTATCGTCGTGGCTCCTTGCACCAGTCCTCCTCCTTTGGACCTTATTTTCTGATAAAGCCTCGTTCTTTGGTAAAAATCAGCCCTAGCAAAGTCTAGTTCTCTGAGGTACTTAGCGTTGTTCAGATGCGTGAGGAGGTAGTCGATGTCCGTCGACCAGCACCAGCCTGAAGAAAAAGGAAAATGTAAAGTCCCACAATTGTACGGTATTTGGTTATTTGTATCAACCTTGATAGTTGGTATAAATGGTACAAACAAATTAGGACAATTTCTTAGTTCTGTTTAGGAAAAATGTGGGTGAAAGTTTTAACGTGTTGTTCAATTGTAATTGGGTTTTTATTTTTGCTAAAGGTACTCTCGAAAGGACTGAACCACTATCTTTATTAGCATCATCGACCTTGATATTTACAAGCAATCATTATTAAATTAGACAGGGAAGTTAAAAAAAATCAAATTTATTAATTTGAAGTGTGGTAATTGTGACTGATATCTGTGAAAAATTGTGAGCAAACGTCGGCGGTGAGTTTTGGCCTTGGCTTCTGAGAAAATTAAAATTTAGGTTCAGCGGTTGAAGTTTCCGACAGGCGTGATTTGAGCCATGGTAAAATTTCGCCATTAAATAAAAAAAACTTCCTCTGCTGCGAACAATTCTTAAATCACGCAACATAAACGAGGGCAGAACAATGCACACCTTCATGCAGAAGCCACGATTAGAAATAATTAAGCAATTAGTAATTAAGTGTAATAATTCGAGAAACAATTAGTCACTAAGATAAGATTCATACTTTTTTTACTACATCTTTTGTTCCTGTTTTCCAAAAAGTCTATTAACATAGAAAGATAGATCCCACGGATGCGGAATCGTGACTTTTTGTTTTGTTTGTTTAGCTATAAGAAATGGCTAATAATATTTTTGGAGTTTTAGGGCAGTTTTACTTCATTGCATCCAAATTGCCATTGACCGCTTTTTTAGAATAGAAGAATATTCAGTTTTGAACATGTGCTTGGTAAATTTAAATCTGAATTTGCTTAAAATAAAATAATTTATTCGAAACACTACTTTTATGTGAATAAAGTAGCAAAGTAATATGTGCTCCTGCTGAACTCGCCAATGTATTTAAAAAGCGACGTGTAGCAACAAAGGCCTTTATTTCTCATTTAACCTGAATTCCACTTTTCGAATTGTTCTTCAAAACAAAGTAATAAGCTTTTTATGTTCTAACTTGTCTTCAAGACCTCGCGATTCTATTGAGCGATTCCCAACGCGAACAAATTAACATAGAAATTGGCCCAATTGTAGAATTTTGAATGATAATAAGGTGCAATTGACCTCAACAAACAATTTTGGAAAAAACCCTCCTAGCCGGTGATGTTTTAATTCGTATTGGATCATTTACCGATCTTATGAATAGAAGTTTGTATGGAATATGAAACACGAAGCACGCAATGCGATCGGATGGTTAAAACTTATTAAATAATAAATTAAATAATTCATTTTAACTATTTAACTATAAAACCTATGGGTTTCATGTATGTGTTCTCATTTACAAGCAAAAGTACAGTTGCGTTATATTAAGTTTTATTTATTTTGATAGCACAATTCGATCAAACAAAACAATAGGGAATTAATAAAAGTTTGACATTTAATAGCTAACATGTTAAATGAAAGTTCGTGTTGTTTATGAACACCAACTCTTCCAAAAATCTTTCAACGCGAAGGCCAAGTCTTTCCTTGATAAATAACTTTTCTTATTAGTTTTTTCTCTCAGGTTAGAATTGCCTACAGTGGTGTGTCTCCATCGCGTAGTTTGGCAAGCAGTAAAAAGCTGTCTAGGTCTTGGAAGTGGAACCTACATACGCTGCATTTTTACAACTTGTTTTATTTTGTAGGCCATCTGCTATTCAATTCCATTAGATGTCATCATCCCCATCCGCGCTCATGTTTTTTGTCCTTTTTCTCTATCACCAAAAGAAGATCAAGACTGCTACTTCTTTTGCTAGCCAAGTAGCTCAAAGCCCAAACCACCATGGCAGCTTCTAAATGCTTGAACATAGTGAAGACAAAGCCGAAATTATATCGTGTGACAAACTTCAAAAAATCTCATCACCAAATCTCCATTCAACCCCCTCGAAAAAAAAAAATTGCTCCTTATTTTTTCAACAACCAAGCCGGTCAGCTATAAATTGTAGTATGGCTTGCATGAATATTCAGCAGAAAGTTATACATTACAGCCATCTGGATTGAGTCCACTAGTAGACTATAAAATGGGAGAAAAACTATTATTCTCTAGAAGAAGAAGAAAAAATGTAGACTTTGAATAAGCTGGACGTTCGAGCCAGGTGGAATAAATGGATGATCATGGCTGTGATGTGGTTCACAACCATTGTGGAATGTATATGCTAAAGCAGCATGTCATCAAAATTATAGCAGAATCTACGTTTTTTAAAATGAAAATTTTTAGTACAATTCAGCTTATTGAACCAACAGAGTAACTCCTAGTAAGACGTAATAGTAGGAAGTGGTTTGGACATTCCCGATAACTACACTTTCAACAACCTGCAGGTCTCAAGAAGAAATATCTTAACCAGAGATAAGGTTGATGGTGTGACGCAGTGCCTGTTCAACGTGTAAAGATAAGGGTTGAAAAAGGAAATATTCGTTTATGTTATTACGTGAACCAACGTTTAAGAAAAAAAGGCGTATATGTGTAGACCAGCTTGACTTCGCTGATTTGCCGGTCTTGATAAATGCTTTTCTTCCACCACCTCAATGTGTCTATTAAATAGAGTTGGATTATTCTCAGAAGATTCTTGTAAAGACGAACATAGTTTTCGCAATTATAATTTATCTCTTATAAATCGCTGTGTTTTATGTATTTCCAAACATCCTGGGTGATCCGTTTCGCTGCGAGTTGCGAAACTGCTCAGTATTCCTTTGAAAACGGCGGAAAGGAAAGGTTCTCTGTTGAAATGGTGAAATCACAGACTGGGCTGACCTCTCATCCGAGTACCTCGACATAGCGATTTGCCGATTTAAATATCTTCGAAATAAGTCGTGTTCAGTGATATTGTTAATTGAAAGAGTAATATTTTTTTAAATAATAATTTCACAGCTGAAGTTCAAGAACATTATTAAGTAAATAATGTACTGAAATCCTATAGCTTTCTATTTCTTTATCATTAATTTTAGGCTTTACCATAAAAATCTTGATAACCAGCGTTCTCGGACTATCATAGACATTCAACAAATATTATTTTCGGTTTTAATTTAAAGGGTTAAAATGGCTTTTTTAAAACAGACGACTTTTAATGTTTATAAATTTCTAGTTTTATATAATACATCAACCTAATATGTGCATTCGGATATAAAAGTTCATGTTAATGCAAAAGTAGCTATTTTCAATTCGTCTTGGACCCATTGTACCCATGTTTTTTATTTATTCATGTTTACAATTTATTTTGCCAAAAACTGTGCTTAGCGCAATTAGCAGCATTGATGATAAAAGCCTTGAGAAGCTACGAAGTAGTGTTCGGAATATCAATAGTTTTTCGAATAATCAAAAGACGTAGATTCTATGCAATGCAGGCTTTAAGGCCTAAATGCAATAAAATTAATGAAAACTAATCAAATTTAAAAAAAGTGTGATTTTACTCTGTTACACTGTTTACACTACAAACCTTTATCCAGGAAGAAGCCATAATTCACAGCCTAATGCTGGGACATGCTCATAGCCTACTCGCATAGGAGCAATTAAAACTCCGGGAGGGACTTTAGGCGGATAGGTTCTGTTTGTCCATGATATCAAAATTCAGATTTGACAAAAATTTCAAATCTAAATACCCGATAGGCAGACTGGGAGAAAGGGATCCGTAATACCGACTATATCTGTTATAAAGATGGGTCCAAGACTGGGGTCAGAAACTGCTGTCTTTAGAAACAAACCAAGGACAAGAATTCAAATAAGCCTTGTGCAATATGCCATTATATTTTAGGCGGAGTCTGTGGCTATCGAACTCTATGCCAGCGAAATCGAAAGGCTGGGTTTTAGAAACAAAGAATATCTACTCGGAGAGCCAGACTACACTAAAGGTAGTAAGGTCTAGAGCCATTTAGGATTGCATTAAGGCCCTGTCAGACATTGGAGAAAATCGCTCTTGTTTTTGCTGTTGGGTACGAGGGCAGAGGAGGTCGATAAATTGGCCCTGAACCATTTTATGGTATATCAAAAACTTAGAGAGACAATAAGACAGAATAAGTTTTTGGTCGAATGGAAATTTATCGTATGCGAAAAAATTCATTGAACAACAATCGCAGAAATACTAATCCGATATTACCAGGAAGAAGAAGGAACAGCGGAAAATGTTCTCTGTTGGTACGAAGTCCTACGCAGGATGAGATTCCTACTCGAGGGGGAGAAAAAGCTAAAGAATGAGAGATATACATAGTACCCGAATGTAAAAAACCCTAAAACATAATAAAGAGCAACGACACTTGTTATAGCACTAATCGTGATTACCCAATATTGGTCGCGATGCGCAAGGCCGTAAAGAGGCCGACTCTTATTATCCTAAACCTAAATTAAAAAATTGACAAAAATTAGTGAAAATATGTTTTTAACTAGCTTTACGTTTCCGCATTAGCCGCAATAATAATTATCTAGTTAAAAAAGTTTTACCTCAATAACATAATCACACAAGCTCTAAAAGGAGCTGATACCATTGATTATTGGCAGTAATTAATTAAAACCCTGATCTGATAAATGGTCTAGATTGCAACAGACTTAAAAATTACACGATTAATACAACGTTAATAATCTATTAACTAGAAATTCAACAGATTTGTGCTCTCTTGATTAATTTTTTTATGAATATTTTTATAGTTTTTGTGTATTATTATTTGTATCACCTTATTCTCTTTTATCTCACCTTCCCTCGATATTTTGGCCTGTTTATCACTCCACAGACCTTAAGTATTAGTACTGTTATTTATGAAAATTAAAATATTAGTAAATTTGTCCAAATTGAACTTTACCGAATATAAAGTATATGACCAGTGAGAGAAAATATTAAACTTTTAATGGGGAAGCTAGATGAGATTTTTTAATATGGGCCAGTATATCGTACATTCCATGCATTTTCCTCGATTATGCAAGTTTCCATTTCATTC